CCCTGCTATTCTTAGTTGTATGACTTGTAGTTTTAACATTACGTCAACGTATTTAAAAAAAAAAATTAATTATTATATTGTTGATTGCTAGGAAATTTCAATTCATTAAAGAGATATTTTTGAAAAAATGCGTTTATACTAAAGTGCAAAAAATGCAACTGCAAACTGATATTATCATTTCTTTGTAATTTGATCTCTGAAGAATAATACCATGCTTATATAGACTGTTGCGGGTGGTTGGTGAAAGCGGGGTTACCACTATCCTTCCTTCTCTTTCCCTCTTTTTACTTAAATGCCATCTCTTACTTTAATAACAGTAACTTTTTCTCCTTCTCCAATTATTTCATAATTCCTTTTCCTGTACTACTATTGTGCCAATCTTTTTTCTTTTCCCTCTCTTTCTTTATATACTATTCCGAATAATTTCCCCGATTTTAAACTTTTTTCTGTACCTCTGTAGTAAATGCCTACTCCGTAACAATTTCTGGGAACGTATCAATCCAGGTACAACTCAGATTCTCTTGACTATCAATGTCAACACACGGATAAAATCTCATAACTTTCAATGCCAAATCAAAGGGCACAATCCTCAGTCTGTTTATTAAAACAGGGAACCACACGAATACGATCCGTGATCTATCAACGCCACTTCCACTGGGCGTGATGTCGTTAGCTATTGATATCAATCGGAAGCTCGCAACTATCGATCCCAAATTAAAGAGGACGATCCTCAACCTGTTTAGCAGAACAGGGAACCCAACCACTCGAATATGATCCATGATCTATCAACACCACTTCCACCGGGCTTGATCTAGTTAGCTATTGATATCAATCGGAAGCTCGCAACTATCGATCCCAAATTAAAGAGGATGATCCTCAACCTGTTAAGCAGAACAGGGAACCACTCGAATATGATCCGTGATCTATCAACACCACTACCACTGAACATGATCTCAGCTTTTGATATCAATCGGAAGGTTTTAACTATTGATCCCAAATTAAAGGCACGATCCTCAACCTGTTTATCAAAACAGGGAACAGGGAATGTAGCCAGATGCAACTAATAGAAGTAATTACAATTCTTACATTGTTATCTATATCACATGACTAAGGCAATCATATTAGGTATTAAAGCACAGTTGAAATCGGCGCAGTTAAGATGTATGTCAAAATATATATCACAGGATTAAGCTGATCCTGCTACGTATTTATTTGAAACGCAGTTCAAATGGATAATGGGGTTTACAAGTAAAATAAAAACATAGATAGTTAATAATGTACAACATAGTGCAGGTTTACAGAATATCGTTTTATCCAACATTTATTACACCTCCGTTCTTTTTCTTTTACCCCTAATTACCCCTATCATGTCCTCTTACTATTTCACCGCTACTTCCTGATCAAATTTTCTTTTACCTTACCTTGGATATGATCCCTTTTCCCCATCTCTGATATGATCACTTTTTCCTATCTCAGATATGATCTCTTTTCCACATCTCAGATATGATCCCTTTTCCCCATCTCAGATATGATTCCTTTTCCACATCTCAGATATGATCCCTTTTCCCATCTCTGATATGATCCCTTTTCCACATCTCAGATATGATCCCTTTTCCTCATCTCAGATATGAACCCTTTACCCCATCTCGGATATGATCTCTTTTCCCCATCTCAGATATGATCCCTTTTTCTAATCTGATTTGATCCCTTTTCCACATCTCAGAAATATGATCCCTTTTCCACATCTCAGATATGAACCCTTTTCCCCATCTCTGATATGATCCTTTTTTCCCATCTCAGATATGATCCCTTTTTCTAATCTTAGTTTATCCCTTTTCCACATCTCAGATATATGATCCCTTTTCCACATCTCAGATATGAACCCTTCTCCCATCTCTGATATGATCCCTTTTTCTCATCTCAGATATGATCCCCTTTTCAAATCTGATTTGATCCCTTTTCCAAATCTCAGATATATGATAACTTGTCCCCATCTCAAGTATGATCCCTTTTCCCCATCTCAGCTACGATCACTTTTTTACATCTCAGATATGATCTCTTTTCTTTATCTCAGATATGATCCCTTTTCTTCATCTCAGATTTGATCCCATCCACATTATAGATATGATCTCTTTTCCCAATCTTAGATACGATCCCCTCAGAAATGATCTCTTTTTTCCATCTCATATATGATTCCTTCCCTATACCTTCATTAGTGGGGTGGGATGGAGGGAGTGGGGGGTGGGGCTGAGAATGATACTAACTGCATATAATATATGAGATTGACTTAACTCCTCTTGTGAACAAACTTCATACAAAACCTCAATTCCGTTTTTTACTCAAACCGGTTTCAAGTTCCGGCAAAGTCATGCAATGGCAAATTATTAAAAATTTGTGCCTAAAAAAAACTTCATATCTCAGTTAATTTTGAGATTGAACCAAATGATAATGCACAAATGTTTTACTTGCCCCACCCCTCCCCCCCCTATTCTGTTAGATGCACAATGCACATGTTTATTTATTGAATTCTGAAGCTGGCTGGTATAGTCTAGTACCTAGTGAGAGTTAAGACACTGAGCCGAAAACACGGAAACAAGAGATTAGTTAATTTACAGAGATGGTCTCAGAAATGTATTCAACAAATTCCAATTAACGAGATAACAGAGTTAATATGAGATACTAATTTACGTCTTTCCAGTTCTTCCAGTATTCTATTAGCTTAATTGTTAATGTAAAGTAAAATACGTCTTGACATTTGTTTTTATTGGGTTTTTAAATTACAGCGTGACTAAAATACTATAATTATTGTAGTGGTTGACCCACAGCTAGTCTGTGCAGGATACTGGAAGGGGCGGGTCAAAAGGTGAGGATTCGGCATGGTATCGAGGGATTAGAAGGGAATTGGGTTATGGTACGGTACTATTTTACAACTTTGTTGATTTTCCTGGTTTCATTAGCGGGTGTACAAGCTTTTTTTTTAAATTCGAAATTTGTATGTGAAGGTCTTTTATTTCTGACCATCCAGTCATCTTAATGTAAGTTTACCCATTATGACTTTTATCGGATAAAAATATAAGCTAACCATTAGCAATGGTCCTCCCGCTTAGATCGTGTGACGTTGATATCATATAAATTATCAATATCAAAAGGCAGTTTCACATGGCTTTATCAATAAACAATATTATTTAAACATACAAAATGAATTGAATAGTTGCAAAGCAATGATGTTCAATAAGTTGAAGAAATATGAATATCTGATCAAAATTCGGAACTTATGTGAGAACCATCGTTAGTCTAAAACGCTTGATCTCGATATCTAATTTGGGCGCTTAAAACTCGGGGATAAATGCTTGACCCTTCATTTTACCATTTCAGGTTACCAAGATACAAGATACAGGGTTACCCACAAAGGATGAGACTGTAAACAAGACCGAAAACTTTTGAAATATGACAGTTGCCGGGTTCATATATGATTCTGCATAGGAATGTTTACTTAAGGTTTCGTTCTGACAATTTTCATTCTTGAAAAAAAAGCATATTTAAGACGTATCACATCCCACATGTGGAGTGGACACATAAACATTTGGAGTTTTTTTTTGTATTTTTTGAAGCCGGTATGATATTGTTTGATATTTGACCTCAAACGAATTTCTAAGGCAAAAATCATACGAATAAGATATCACCTCAGAGTGACTAAAAAGATTTTTACCTTAAAAATGGATTCCTAGAGCCAAAAAACCTTTTATTTGGCATTTATGATAAGGCATGCATGAACAAAGTAACAAATTGATGATTTTATGATTTTTGAGATTATTTGGTCTTAATGAATATTGAGGCCCCCTAACATACCGAAGGAGTCCGATAGCCCTGCTTTTTTTGGAAACTAATACAGAATGTATTAAATGAATTTTGACTCTTAAGTAAGCTAAAAGTTTGCAGGATTTAAAAAAAAATTCAAATTTTCATTTTTTTTCGTACCCTTCAACATCGAGTCCGAAGACCTTAAAAAATTTTAATGAAATATATAATTTTTTTCAAACATTAATCTGTGAGCAAAATTTTAGCGATATCTGATCATCATATTTATAAACTTACCCCCTTTTGTTCTGGAATGACCCATTCATTCTATTATATATCCATGGTTGTTACTTTATTTTAAGTTTACTCATTTTCAATTAATTAAATTCTTAGAACTTTATATTTGTACTATTTGTTATACTCAACGCTGAGTTATCAGATTTAATTGTATTATTTCCTAGAAAAAATGTGCTTTTATTATTTATAATTGAGTTGCATTCATCTTTTGATGAGAACATTGGTTATTTAAACCTTTCAAGTCAAATTGATTCTTATAAGGGGGGGGGGAGGCTGTTGTACTATATACTTTTTATATATTCTAATATATTTACTCTATAAAAAGTAAATTTAAGATTTAAAAACAAATTAAAAATTCAAGGGTTGGGGGGGAGGGGCACTGTTTCCTGCTTACTCACTGGCTACGCCCCTGCTTTTTACATAATGTGGGGGGGGGGGGGGAATTCTAGAATACATAATGTCGAGATTCGACTACTGAGCTGCTGCTTGTATTGATTTAAACTAGGACGTATCTGGTTCTTATCTATTGATCAATCATCATTTCAAGCTGTACTTTTTTAAGTTAAAGTATTTAAGTAAATCAATTAATGTTATAAATTATACGTTATTGAATCACCTTTGAAATTGATGTATGCTTTGTAACGCGCTTTGGGCTAAACCACAGCAATATTATTGTTTATTTTCATATTACTCGAAGATTTGTTTATTTGTAAAGAATATTGTATTTTTCCATAAAAACGCAATTTTTATATGTTTAAACTATTACAGCTAATTTCTGCTTATCAAGGATATGTGGTAATTGCAGATCAAAATAGAGCAAATGAATAATTTGCCCTTGTTTTTAATATCTTAAATTTTCAAAAATTGTCTGATATATATAATTTGACAAATATGTACTTTTTTATTTCAGATTTGTTTTTCTGGTGAAAATGAAAACTAACAAGTGACGATAATTTATTTATTATAGTTATTTCGGTGAGAAGCTCAGGTTGTTAAAATGCCGGAAAATGGTTTGAAAGTTTGTCCTGGCATCCAAACCCTCGACTCGTGTACCCTGGGCTCTGACGAAAAAATTCGTCGGTCGTCATCGAGCTTTTTGCCGGCCAGAGTGACGCTTACGAACAGTGATCTGGCTCGCCGCTCTCTTCAGCCTAAATCAAGGAATAAGATTTTTTTTTAATTTGACGGGATTTTAACAAGTTTCAAAATTATGGAACCATAGTCTGAAGAAAGGGTAAATTAAAAAAGGTTTCAGAAGGATAAGAGATTAGTCGGCAAAAAAGGGAGATGATTTAGGGAATTATATGGACCCCTGCGGTCCATATAATTCCCAAAATAGCTGATTTTCTCGATCCCAAAATAATTTTTTGCCCCCAATTACAAAAAATGCCCCCGATTAAAAAACATTTTTCAAATTCCACTAACACATTTGCCCCCAATTAAAAAATAAATTTGCCCCCATTTCTTAAAAATTTGTCAATCCCAAATGGGATTGAAAAAGGAATTATATGGACCCCTGGATGATTGTAATTCAAAGGATGTGACTTTTGGGTGTAAACGATTTCAGATATGTTTTTTTTACAATAATGAATGGATTAACATCTTAAATTATTAGTTGATGAAAAAAGAACTGTAATTTTAGGAAATTATGACAAGGAGAGCAGATGATTCTTATCTATTCCTTGATTGACAAGCTGATAAAGGATTTCAAACAAATTTAGAAAATATTTGCCCGTGTTGCCAAGTGCGCCAATATCATGCTAGATCTACATGGGACTTAATCAGTGGTCGATAAAGTTAACAGTATTATTTTCCTAAAAAAAATCTTTCAATAGGGATCGATTAAATACATTCAATGGAGACGGATTTCTCAAGGAAGGATCACACTCGTTCAAGGTAAAGGAGTTTAGTATTTCACCTTTTTGATAGCAGGTTACTGGTCAGTAGTCAGTCTCTATAAAGGGACTGTAAAAGTAAATTCAGTAGTCAGTATTTTTTCACCTTATTGATAGGAGGTTACTGGTCAGTATTCAGTCCCTATAAAGGGACTGTAAACGTAAGTTCAGTAGTCAGTCCCTGTAAAGGGACTGTAAACGTAAATTCAGTAGTCAGTCCCTTTAAAGGGACTGTAAACGTAAATTCAGTAGTCAGTCCCTTTAATGGGACTGTAAACGTAAATTCAGTAGTCAGTCCTTTAAAGGGACTGTAAACGTAAATTCAGTGTAATCAGTCCCTTTAAAGGGACTGTAAGCGAAAATTCAGTTGTCAGTCCCTTTAAAAGGACTGTAAACGTAAATTAACTAATCTGCCCCTTTAAATGGACTGTAACCGATAATTCAGTTGTCAGTCCCTTTAAAGGGACTGTAAACGTAAATTAATTAATCAGCCCCTTTAAATGGACTGTAACCAATAATTCAGTTGTCAGTCCCTTTAAAAGGACTGTAAACGTAAATTAACTAATCAGCCCCTTTAAATGGACTGTAAACGTAGATTCAGTGTAGTCAGTCCCTTTAAAGGGACTGTAAACGTAAATTTAGTTGTCAGTCCCTTTAAAGGGACTGTAAACGTATATTCAATAATCAGTCCCTTTAAAGAGACTGTTAACGTAAATACAGTATTCAGTACCTTTAAAGGGACTGAACAAGTAAATTCAGTAGTCAGTCCCTTTAAAGTGAATATAAACGTAAATTCAGAAGCCAGTCCCTTTAAAGAGAATGTGAACGTAAATACAGTAGTCAGTCCCTTTAATGAGAATGTAAACGTAAATTCGGTAGTCAGTCCCTTTAAAGAGAATGTAAACGTAAATTTGGTAGTCAGTCCCTTTAAATAATATGTAAACGTAATTTCAGTAGTCAGTCCCTTTAAAGAGACATGTAAACGTAAATTCGGTAGTCAGTCCCTTTACAGGATGTGTAAACGTAATTTCAGTAGGCAGTCCCTTTAAAGGGACTGTAAACGTAAATTAAAGTGACCATCGATTAGTAGATACACAAAAGCTTTGTCTGATTAGGTATAAAATAGACATCCATGAAACTGATTATTTTCATTTGTGAGTTCTCTTCAAAAGTGGCTAATTGTAATTTTTTGAGAAACCTCAAATTATCAGAATTGAACATTTTTCGTTTTCTTCCAAATTGATCAAATTTGCAAGATTTCTGGGGTACAGTTGAGATTCGGCAGTGCCACTCTTTACATGGATAATCAATTAGAATCACGACTACGCTCCCTTTATTTAATCTTTTCATTTTGTAAGACTTGCCATTAAAATTCAAAATTTGAAAGGGTTTTTTATCTCGTAAGAAAGAAAATTATACATTTCCTTTCTTTTACTAACTCAATTTCCTATGGTTGGGTATTTATTTATTGGTTACTATTTGTTTATTTTTTAGCTCCGGGTCAATTAAGACGGCTGATAATGTGTCCCTCTAATAGCTCTGATTCTTGGATTTTTGGCCTGTTCCTTTAGTACCTATGTTTCGATGAAGAGATCCTTTTAATTACTCCGTGAATTTTGGTGGAGGTTAATTTTTGAAATTTTGAATAATCCATAAACCTTCCCTGGGGTTATGTGAGGTCCCATACAAAATTTGGACCCGATCGGTTTAGCCGTTAGGAAGTTTATTAAATACAAATAAATAAACAGACAAACAGGAAAAGTATATTTATTATTACTATTATTATAGATTTATTTCGTACTCAAAGGTAAAATGGTAGAATATATTAAGACAAAAACAAGAATAAAGTATAATATATAAATATAGTTTCTAGTCGGAACATAAAAAGTTGATCATGGTTGCGATCTCATTATCATCAAAGTTATTTAGAACAAAATTATCTTCTTTAACTTTAAGTAATTCATGAAGAATGGGTTATTTCCATTCTTGGTCTAAAGGAATATGATTGTATATCATATTATGTTTCACGCAAAATTTGTTTAGATTGCTAGATTGTATAGATAGATAACAATTCGAAACTTTGTTGTGGTCTACAAAAGCTATTCAAACATTATTTAAAGCATTTAATATCTGTAGCTAACATAGAATCTACTATATAATGGGACAGAAGTCTATAAGTGTAATTTCAAGTAACCCTCCATGCAAAAGGACAATGCCCGATTCACAACAGCACCCTTGAAACCATAATCTGATCAAACCTGTGGAAGATAACATCGTTTTCCAGTCTTTCTTGATAACAAGAAATGCGAAAGTCACTTTTTGCAGAGAAACTACAAATCAAAATTAACAGTTTTCAAAAACAAAAATGAGTTATAATTCATACTTGATTGATCAGTAGAAGGTTTTAAGGGTACCGTTATAAATTTGGCATTGTCATCTTTGCATGGAGGGTCACTTGAAATTACGCTTACAGTCACTTTTTTAAATTGTCTTCTAGGAGCGCCGCCACAGTGTAGGAGGTGGGTCTGATGATACTCCTGGTAGACTACGAAGGAGTAGGAGTACTCTCACTGGTTGGAGTTCTGGAACTATTATTCAGGAGTCTCCAACTAACAGGATGCTTTCAGGGGACTCTCCTAATCCACTCTTACCCCCTAAAGGTGAGAATTTGGACATCTTAAGAATATCTTTCTCGTAAAAAATGGTAAAATTTTAATTTATTTTTAAAAATTAGAAATTGTGTTTTTTAATTTTTAAATTTTATGTAGATTTAAATTGTCTGTCAAGAAACTGTGAACGTGATTTTAAGGTGCCATCCATGCAAAAATGTCAAATTTACATCAGCAACTTTTAAACCTTTCTCTGATTAACAATGTGGAAGACAAGGTCGTTTTTTAGTTAAAAAATATATTTAATTACAATTGAAAACAATAATTTTTCAAAATTATAAACATTGATATACAATTCATAATTGAATGATCAGTCATGGCAAAGTTTTTAAGGTTACAATTGTAAATTGCTCGTTGCAATCTTTGTATGGCGGGTCACTTGTAATTACGCTTTAATGAGTATACAATCTACCAAATAACGGACAAGTTAATTCCATCTGGAGTCTTAGTCGGATTATACTGGTTTCTGTGCGTCAATGAGAAAAGATGAATTGCGCTAACACACAGCTATAATTATATTTAAAATCTGGATTAAATGGTTAGTGAGTGTAAACTGTAAATTCTTCACTATGACGTTTTATTCTATAATTAACGGGACTTTACATGTAATTTTAAGGGATATTTCATTTATAGAGTAAAATTTCCGATTCACTACGGTACCATCCATCGACTGCGGAAACCTGACTAACAACTGTGTGATAGCTCTTTTAAAATCCCCTTTTCTGAAAATGTCTAACAGGAATAAATAAAATACGAATAAAAACATACATTTTCGGGAGTTCCAGAAATTAAGTAATTTTATACGAGTGTCCCATATCATTTCAGATCGTTTTATTAGTGATTTTCGTTACAATCGGAAAATTTGAAAAGAATTAATCATTTAAAAAAATTGTGTAAGCATAATATAAAATTTTGGATCCAGAAAAGACAAGGTTTTTCGTGTATTATGTGCTTATATTGTTAAATCTTGGGAGATAATCATATATCCAATATGATATGGGATTAGAGAATAGAATATTGTGTACAAGTGTACAAATCATGTAAATGTTCACAAATTATATGCAGTAGAGTACATTAATACAGTATGTTTCCTTGACTACCCATTTCAATTTCAAATTTTTTAAAGCTGTTGAATAAACTTTATAAAATGAAATGTGAATTAAATAAAAACATCATTTTATTTTTAGTTAAACGGAAAATCATCGTTTGTAAAGTGAAAGGCATAGAGTCTATGTGAAATGATAATTGGTCAATGATGAAACCAGCCTATGTCATAATTTGGTTTTCTTTTAACATTAATTTTATATTTTTTTTATAAAATGATGGTCCACGGCCCAAAAGGTTTTATAGCTCAAATATGTGAATTACACCTGCAGTATGGAAACAGTACAACAAAATGGCCGTTATACACTTTTTTTAGTGAATTCTACTCTAATATATATTATATTCTCTTTGGATATGGGACGCTCTAGCTGTATGTTAAACACGAAAAAGCAATATTAAATACAAAGTTTTAACAGAAAGGTTTTATTGTTGTCGTGGTAAATCAGACATCCACTCTACAATACAAGGTCACTTGAAAATACATAAACAGTCTCACAATGAATTATTTTAATAATTTTAACCATGAATTATATTACGTAGATTTAGTTCTTTATTCTACAAAGGGCCATTGGTCATTCACCTTGGTACCCTTTTAGTCCTGATATACATATATTAGTACTCACAAAATATTAGAAAGATGTGATTTGTTAATTATCAGATGCGTTCAAATGATATTTAGAATTCTTATTTTTTGTGTTAACAGAAGTAAAACGAAACAATATTCCAAAGACCCTAAAATATCACAACTTATTTAGAAAAATGAACATCTTTTTATTTCCAAGTGAAAGTCAGCGTATTCATTTTGGTCACTCATGTTTATTTTAATAAAATTAATAAAATTTTTTTTTATGAAATCGGATTTGTAACTGAGAAGACCGCATAATTTGTAGGAAAAAAAAATACTGGTTCCCTTCATTTAATTTGTACTGTACATGTCCACCCTTCTCCACTTCATTTAATTTGTAATGTACATGTCCACCCTTCTCTACTTCATTTAATTTGTAATGTACATGTCCACCCTTCTCTACTTCATTTTATTTGTAATGTACATGTCCACCCTTCTCTACTTCATTTAATTTGTAATGTACATGTCGACCCTTCTCTACTTCATTTTATTTGTAATGTACATGTCCACCCGTCTCTACTTCATTTGATTTGTAATGTGCATGTCCACCCTTCTCCACTTCATTTAATTTGTAATGTACATGTCCACCCTTCTCTACTTTATTTAATTTGTAATGTAAATGTCCACCCTTCTCCAGTTCATTTAATTTGTTATGTACATGTCCACCTGTCTCTACTTTTTTTAATTTGTAATGTACATCTCCACCCTTCTCCACTTCATTTAATTTGTTATGTACATGTCCACCCTTATCTACTTCATATAATTTGTAATGTACATGTCCACCCTTCTCTACTTTATTTGATTTGTAATGTACATGTCCACCCTTCTCTACCTCATTTTATTTATAATGTACATGTCCACTCTTCTCTACTTTATTTAATTTTAAATTTACTTGTCCACCCTTCTCTACTTCTTTTAATTTGTAATATAAATCTCCACCCTTCTCCACTTCATTTAATTTGTAATATTTATGTCCACCCTTCTCTACTTCATTTAATTTGTAATGTAAATGTCCACCCTTCTATACTTCATTTAATTTGATATGTACATGTCCACCCTTCTCTACTTCATTTAATTTGTAATGTACATGTCCACCCTTCTCCACTTCATTTAATTTGTAATGTTCATGTCCACCCTTCTCTACTTCATTTAATTTGTAATGTACATGTCCACCCTTCTCCACTTCATTTAATTTGTGATGTTCATGTCCACCCTTCTCCACTTCATTTAATTTGTAATGTAAATGTCCACCCTTCTCCACTTCATTTAACTTGTAATGTACATGTCAACCCTTCTCCACTTCATTTAATTTGTAATGTACATGTCCACCCTTCTCTACTTCATTTAACTTGTAATGTATATCTCCACCCTTCTCTACTTCATTTAATTTGTAATGTACATGTCAACCCTTCTCTACTTCATATAATTTGTACTGTACATGTCCACCCTTCTCTACTTCATTTAATTTGTAATGTATATCTCCACCCTTCTCTACTTCATTAAATTTGTAATGTATATGTCCACCCTTCTCTACTTCATTTAATTTGTAATGTACATGTCAACCCTTCTCTACTTCATTGAATTCGTAATGTGCATGTCCACTCTTCTCTACTTTATTTAATTTTTAATGTACAAGTCCACCCTTCTATACTTCATTTCATTTGTAATGTACATGTCCACCCTTCTCTACTTTATTTAATTTTAAATGTACATGTCCACCCTTCTCCACTTTATTTAATTTGTAATGTATATGTCCACCCTTCTCTTCTTCATTTAATTTGTAATGTATATCTCCACCCTTCTCTACTTTATTTAATTTCTAATGTACATGTCCAGATTTATTCTTTACACAGATCCCCCCCTCTCTAAAAGAATTTTGTGAAGTTTTTTGTCGATAAATTTTAACAATTACCATTCGAAACAAACCATATAGTCTGCCTATATTTGGCTGCATGTGTAATGTAAATGTCAAAAATTAACAAAGATTAAAGGGATTGTAGAAGTTACTTTAGGTGACCCTGCGCTAATATACAGTATAAGTCCTTTAATATTTCTGAATATCAATGAGATCATTGTTTTTTTTTTCTAAATTGTGTTGAATATTTTCATTGTTGGTTTATCTATTAATTTGTTTGTAAAGTACATTTTTAAGATTTAAAATTCCCGACGATATCTTCCTTATTGGCACTCAAATTTTTGTGAATTGGACATGCCATGTTTAAGTAGAGGGTCCCTCAAAATGTAAACGTCTACCGGTCCTTCAAAAATCTAAAAACACAGAAAATAAATAGATTGTTTGAAATCAGATTTAACGAAGAAAGATGACAAAATAATGAGATTTGTCAACATATTTTATTGTTCTTTTGTTCTTTTGAAAATTCCAAGCCGTTTGATGAATAAAAATACCATTTTCCTCAATTAGCAAATATTTGCACAGTTAATTTTTAATTGTGTGATGTGTCTATTGTGCGTTAAATTAAACTATATTACAATCCAGATTTTATGAATGGTGAAAAATAGTTCAACTACTTATGAACCACTTTTCGAATACTCTTGTTCAAGTTGAAGAAAAGTGTTTCTGAGTTATTCGCCATATATATTATTTAGTGTTTTACGTTTGGTTAGTTTTTTTAAGAATGTACTGCAAGGAAAGTTAATTGCAGTTGCGTATACTCTGCGTACATATTGAAACCAGTTCTCTCTGGGCGAAAACAAGAATAGATGCATCAGTATTTGTTAGTATCCGAGGAGGCTAAAACCATTTAATTTTGATAATTTTGACAATTCACATAATAATTTCCTATGACCAGAATATTTCATTGATTATTTATGTGAAAGATGGATCACATTTCAGGGTTTGACATCCGTCTTGTGTTTGCATTACCGTAGTGACAGTACACTGCAGTATAAAACATGCGTACAACTCTGAAATAACTTTCCTTACATTAAATCCTTGGTTTTTTTCTTCAACACTTTTATTTAACGTTGCACACTTATTAATTATAAGAAGGGATAAAGATCAAACAACTATCGTTATAATATGGTTGCTTATAGATTTGACGGTTATTTTCTGTCTGGGTCCTAATTTGGCTTAGAAGAATAGCAAATATTTAGAATAAACAATTTTGAAAACATTTTCTCTTTTTACACTATGCCAACTTTTCACCCTGAATAAAAATCTAGTCTTATTGAGCCAAAAATTGAAAAATATTTCACTTAGTACTTATGTAGCACAAGTTAGAGTAATACAAATGATCAATGTGCTGAAAAAGTTCTTGACTTAAAAATGATGTAAACATTTTTTTTTTCGAATAATAAGATAAAAATATAAAATTTATATTTTTTTTCTAGATACTTTCCTTCAGATCAGAAACTTGCGCTCTAAACCAAGTAAGTTTAACATAGATATTAGATACTAGTAGATACAGTCTTTTTTGGTATATCCTTTTTGCTTTCTTTTCGCGTGCAATTTTTTTTTTAAAAATATGACTTTCCGGTTCTCCTGAGAAATATGAACACTTGATGAATGTTTATTTAAGACCAAAGTAGTGTGATGTTCTATTGTTCTGAACAACAATTAAAATTATTTTTATTCTCTTGTTTTTATATTTTGTTTTCACTAAAATTATTTAACTAACTCCTGTTATGTTTAGATAGCCTTAATTTTTCAATGAAAATAATATACAAAAGACTTTTTAACGAACCTCATAATGTCCAAGAAGTTGACGCCTTTCTAAGATTTTATAAGGGACTGTTATTTTAATTAATGTTGAGTTGCACTCCAATAAAAGATTCACATTGGAAACCTTGACACCTTAATCTTATGTTCAAAAGTCATCATCTTATCATCTTATGTACACGTTAAAAAGTGAATAATTTAATGGTTTTATTTTATTTGCTTGCAGCAGAAATGCGTAATTCACTTTTGTGGCTCATTAACATTTTGCGCAGTACAAGTTCGCTTATTACACTCCTAGTTCAAATTCGCCTAGACACCATTTTGCCTAGACAAATCGCCTAGATAACATTTTGCCTAGACAAATCGCCTAGATAACACTTTGCCTAGATAACATTAGGAGGTATTTTTCGCCTAGATTAAAATTCTTCAAATTATATTTTTACCAGTTTTAGGGTAAAAAATACTCAATTTTTGTTATAAAATTTGACTTTTTTTTTCATTGCAAATTATTCATTTGGCTACTGACATTGATATCGACATGACGTCCTTAATTAAGGGGCTGGGGGACCAAAAGAGGCAGACCAGCCATAATTGACAATCAACATTTCTCATATGTCTCAAATGGACCTGGTAGTCAGAAAGTTGATAAAGCTGTTTATGAATTACTACTATTCACAATCTTGTATTAAAAAACGATGCTGATGCAATAAGAGCATATTTCAGTTGGCCAGGATATGGCTGATAATTCAGGCAGAAAGCAGATAGCCAAGTATGCAAAACAGAGTTAAACTGAAGGTAAAAGCTTTTGCTACAATACCTAAACTGATTATCTGAAAATGCTGGGTCATGACCTCCAGCGAGCTAGTGCCCTTTAAAATTTAAACATTATTATAGTTCATTTTTTGTTTTCAATTGAATTTCTTGAGAAAAAAGAGAATCTTTAGAAAAATTAGTGAATTTATCTAGGTAAAAATTACCTTGTAATGTTATCTAGGCAAATTTTTATCATGTCGAAATGCTAATACTTTTTTTAAAATTTCAATTGAATTTTTTGAGAAAAATGCGAAACTTTAAAAATTTTCGAAAGAAAAATTGGTTAATCTATCTAGACAGAACTTACTTGCTATTGTTATCTAGGCTAAATATTATCTAGGCGAAATGTTACCTAGGCAAACTGTGTCTATGCAAAATGTTATTTAGGCAAAATGTTATCTAGGCAAAAAGTTAGTTGGCAAAAGTGTGCTAGGCGAACTTGTACTAGGCTAATTGTTAAGAAGTCACAATTTAAAATAATGCGTTTTCAAAATTATAACAAAGCATGAATATCTAATTCACACTTGATCAAACAACGTTTCTGAGGATAATGTTGTGTTGCGGACTTACCTCTCCATTAAATAGGACTCACTTGAAATTTCGTTTACAGTCCCTTTAAGATACTTATCGTTTCGCGACCAAATGGTCTCGATCTGTGTGATCGCTTTTTGCTAATTAAGAGTAGGAGTTTTAAAAGACTTACTAATTAATCTAAAAAAACTAAAATCAATATTTTTAGGGGGGGGGGGGAAGTTTCCAATAATCTTCTTACTTTTTTTTTGTAATTTTTGTGTTAAAAACTTAAAATAGATATTTGCGCGCCCTGCAAACTTTTTTATATAGAGTGCAAACATTAATATCATTCTTGTCGATTGTTGATTCAGGTTTAACTCATCAATTATTAAAGTCTTGAAATCACTTCAATAGTATCAAATGTCGTCTAAAAAATATTTCGGTAATTCTGTTTTCTGTCTATATAAACCATGGATGGAAAGGAAACAAGGAACAACATCTTAATCTGGTTTTGCAATCAAGTTTATCACAATTTGAAGGCTTAGGAAAAAATTATGTTTCTAAAGTTTAATTTAACAATATGCAATATACGAAACATAGATAGATAGATAGATATATATTTCGGCTAACATTATAATAAATACATTTTACATTTTATAATTTTTTTACTAAACAATTATTAGCCAGGGCTGCAGCCTAACTATTTCTGGTTGTTTTGATTGGCTGGCCCTCCAAAGTTTTATAGATACATTTTATTTTTTTAAATTAGCAAATAACGAATACATTACACAATTCACAAAGTAATTTTTTAAAAAAGGAAGAAAAAAAAGAAGGATGGTTGAATATATTGCAAAGGGAAAAAGGGAAGAGAAGGAGAAACCCATGCACTAAAAAATCCAATTTTTGTAGATAATATGTTACAGAGATTTACAAGATTTTCAAATTACATGAGTAGCAGTTCCTGTTTTTACATTTAAATTCCTTATATTTAGAAACAATTTTTTAATTTTTTAAAACTTTTTAGGGTACTCTCAAATGTTTAAAAATCAGACAAATCTAAGCTTTAATACTACTGGGTCGTATCAGCTGAATATTTTAAATGTACGACATATTTTTGGGTATAGTCTTTAAAATAAAAATCTGCTATTTTTTCTACGTGGACAGTGGACAAGCTGGACAGTTTAAAACAGCCCTCAAAGACTGGAAACAACGGAAATGTTTTACCTAAAACCACGAAATGTTTTGGTGACAGTTATAAAAAGCAACTCGCAGATTTTTTGAACAAATAAAAAGTTATAGTTTCTAAAAATTAAAGGGGCATAAAAAAGTATTTATAAATAAAAATTTCTGAACAATCTTGCATCTTATTTTACTTTTTTTTAGAGGATGGTTTCGGTGAGATCCCTGTTATCTATATCAGGGGAGGCTGTAAGGGATATGGCCGAGGTCCAAATAAGAAGAATATTCTGAACAACCTCAACATAACTGTAAACAAAGGAGAGATGTAAGAACATTTATTTATTTACTAGTTACATCTGTCTGGTACATAATGATCTTAGCCTTTTTTTTACTGATTCATCTGTAATCTGCATATCTTCTACATATTTAAATATCGAATTTCGTAGATTTTCTGTTTTCATTTTGCGATTTCATAATTTTCGAAATTTAAAGGGATTGTAAGCATATTTACTCTTTTTGTAAAGATGATTCACAACGGCACCCTTGAAACCATAATCTGATCTATGGGGAAAATATTCTCTTTTTTTCTGCAAATAATGATTAAGGTTTTGGAAACTGGAAAGTATGAAAATTTCTTTAGTAAAAGTACTAAGTAGTAGAACTTTTGTCAGTGTATATATTAACCTTTAAATGTCAGTTTCATTTATTCACCCCCCTTATAAAAATTATCCTAAAATGAATGAGTGAAAAATTCTTCATTTTTTCCCACAGAACATTCCAGATGCTCACAGGGGAGGGTGGGGGGTTAATTCTCGAAATATCTGCCCCCTATGGTTAAGAGTCCGGAATGGAATTAAAGAATGAATAGTTGAAGTATATATGTGTAAAAATACTTGAGTTCTCTGCAAGTCATCTTGGTTAATTTTATGTTTTCCTTGAACCTAGTATGCATTAAATAACAAACATTTTTCTTAGAATTTTGCAATTTACGCCCCTGGCCCTACCCGACAAAAATGTGTTTCATTTAAATTTAAACCGCCTTCGTTTGATTATATAAATTTTGTCACGGGCCCTAAAAAACGGTAATGTTAAATCATCTATACGCAATATCCCCCCTACTGAACTTCTGATCTTATAACTTTCCGACTTACTGCAATATCGGACCTACGACAGCCGTTTGTTTTTATTACTTGAGGGTTAAAGGCTAGTTTAAGACGATTTCTAGTCCGAGTGCTGTGGCTAGAACGGGCGCTGCAGCCACAAGCACAACTAGCAGCTGTAAAACCATGTGCTAATTGGGCGGAAGTGTAGTATAGCGGATTTGGCGTAGGTCAGAACTTGAGTATATCAAATGTGCGTAGGTCGAAAGATACTACTAAGTTCTACTGTTGGGCATCTATTTGAGCTCCGTTCTTGGCTGAGTAGATGCTCTTAAATAATTTTCCATCAGTTTGCTTTATTACATTCTACCAAAAAAAAGTCAAAAATCTGTTGTCTTTTAAATGTTATAACCTTAAAGGGACTGTCAACTTTATTTCCAGTGACCCTAGTTAACAGAGTGGCATGTCTGATTCACAACGTTACCCTTAAAAGCTTTTTCTGATAAAGTTTGAATCATATTCCCTACTAACCGGTAAACCTAATGAATCTAATTATCTAATAAAAAAACATCAATTTGCATTAAATTTCTTACATACTTTTCTCTTCAAAAGTCATAAAATATCTTTAAATTCTAATTTAGAAATGCTTTTTTGCGCAGTTGAGATTTCGTTAGTATTTATCAGAAACTTATTTACAATATGTATGTTTGAAACCTTGACCTTTTACTAACATATACTTATTTTTAATTTTGCATCAGACTTTTCAACTCTATAAAATGCATTTTTTTAAGTTAAGAAAAAACTGAATAATATGTAAAAATATGTAACATAAAACATACCAACTAAGAAAAATTTCTTGTGTTAAAGTTACGAAAATATACTTAAGTCCCTTAAATTAATAACAGAAGAGTTAATTCTTCACTTTGCTTCCTGTCTGTGCTTTCAATAATTCAACTAAAATGTTTAAGTTATGGACTGTTGGGAGCTAGTGGATGCGGGAAAACAACACTTCTGTCCATTATTGTAGGACGACGACATTTAGACAGGTTCAATTCAAATATTCAATTTTTATTTTAGTAAAAGTAGAATTAGGTGGCGAAGTTTTTTTAGGATCAGAATCCAGATACAAAAACATTTCATTGAAATAAATGTTCTTAGCAATTATTCGTTTTTTCTGAAAATTTTTTTTTACCTCGTAAATCTAAAGGTTTACATTTTTGCTCCATTTTTGCTAATTTGAGTAACTCCGCCTAAAATAACAACCCTATCAATATTCGTAACAATCTACGAGCGCAACAGTTAAACATTTTTATTTATTTTGAAATATTTTTTTAAAGAAAGAAAATGGAAAGCAAGCCATTTTTGTATGTTTCTTAACTATTTATTCATTTATAATAAAATTTTGTGTTATAGCGGGAGTTTACGGGTGTTTGGAGGTATACCAGGAGACTCGATTTCAGGGATACCTGGGCCCAGGGTTGGATATATGCCACAGGTACAGTTTAATAGATACAAGTGGTGGATATATGCCACAGATAAAATATATTGGATATTAGACGTGGATATATGACACAGGTACAGTATACTGGATACCAGTGGTGGATATATTCCCCGGATAAAATGTATTGGATATCAAGAAATACATAGACCAGGAACCGCCATATCTGTGTACTGCGGTGGGAGGAGATCAAAACAAAGAACTCAGGGGCAACGCATCATTTTTGAGGGAAAAGGGCCCAAGGGGTGGAACAAGAATATATTACTATTGTATTTTATATATTGACTAGAAAGCCAAATATCATATGAATTCGCTCTAACTTGATATATAAACTTGGTTTTTTTTTGGACTGAAATATCACGTTGTGGGGTACTTGGTTTGTTTACATTTCTCCCACAGTGTAAAGTACACAATTTGCGTATATCTGAATTGGGCGTTCCATGTGTATAGTTCCTTGTTGGATATTAGACGTGGAATGTGGATATATGACAGGTACAGTATAATGGATACAAGTGGTGGATATATGCCACAGGATTAATATATTGGATACTAGGGGTGGATATATGCCAAGGGCACAGTATAATTGATACTAGGTGTAACTGTAGAGGTATGCCACAGGTACAGTATAATTGATACCAGGGGTTGATATAATGCACAGGTACAGTATAATTGATACCAGGGGTTGATATATTGCACAGGTACAGTATGATTGATACCAGGAATTGATATATTGCACAGGTACTGTATGATTGATACCAGGGGTTTACCGTGTATATATTCCATGGATACAGTATAATGGATACTAGTGGTGGATATTTACCACAGTACACTGGATATCAGGGGTGGATTTATGCCACAGGTACAGTGTAATGGATACCAGGGGTGGATATGTGCCACAGGTACAGTATAATGGATAAAAGCCAGTTTTTGTATTCTATTAAATAATTTTCAAAATATTGAAGACGAAAATAAATTTGCATTATTGAGAGGCTTCAGACGCATCTTTGATACCTTAAAAACCTAATAAAACCCAATAAACCCCACGGGGCTGGTTTTGTTCTGTTAAAAAAAAACCCCACCCTGGTTTGAAAGGGGGGGGGGTGTCAAAGATATAATATTTTTGAGTGAATAAATACAGATTTAATAAATAAGTTGAATATTATTGTACTCAGGAACTAGCATTGTACGAGGAGTTTACTGTTGAAGAAACAGCTCTTTACTTTGGCAGAATATATGGGATGTCTGTTAAACAGATAAAGTGAGATTTTTTTTTAAATTAATATCTTGATAGAATCCATAATACCCCCCCCCCCTCCCTCCCCTTAACTACTCCTGAAACAGTAATTGCAAAAAGGAGGAAAGGCAACAAAAAATAGAAAATTGAAAATTTATTTATTTAGGATTCAAAATTGGAAAACGGCAATATCATTTTGTTTAAATGTTCTCATTTTCCTTGTTATTTTCATTAATATTTACCTTATATTGAATAAAAATGTTACTAATTCTAACGAGGTAGTTAATGTTAGTTGGCAAGTATTCTAAAACCTGTCCGACCACTGGAATATTATCTACATGGTATATTGTTTAGACTTCAGCTGGAGTTTTTAATGAGTCTATTAGATCTTCCCCACGACAAGCGAAATCTTTCTTCATTCAGGTCAATTTCATTCCGAATTTTTAAAGTGAACCTTTGTTGCGTTAAAGTATACCACCGGCGCTTCGTCTGACATGTCTCAAATACATTTGGAGATTTTGCATTGAGCAAGAAAATGGCGGAAATTTGTTCAATTTGCAAAGGAAAATCTAAAATTTTTTTAAAACACTCACATTTGCAAATAAATTTGATTGCCAACTCAGTTGCAATCAAATTAATTGCTTTCTGTAACGATTGCAATTAAATCAATTGCAATCAGTATTAATTGCAATTTGTTAAGATTGCAATCAAATCAGTTGCAATCGAATCAGTTGCAATCACATTAGTTACAATCAAATTAGTTGTAATCAAATTAGTTGTTTTCACATCAGTTGCAATCACGTTATTTATAATCACAACAGTTGGAATCACGTTATTTATAATCACATCAGTTGCAATCTCGTTATTTATAATCACATCAGTTGTAATCAAATCAGTTGCACAAATAAGTTGCAATCACATCAGTTGCAATCACATTAGTTGCAATCACATCAGTTGTAATCAAATCAGTTGCAATCAAGTTAGTTCCAATTAGCAGAAATCATAACTCAATTGCTAACAGAAATCCGTGGAGACAGCATCAGTTCGTGTTTTCAAAAGAAAAACTCATTTTTGAGAGATAATTAAATTTGCAAGTAGTTCACATTGCAATACATTTGATTGAAATCGCTACTGATTAGATTGAAACTAAAATTTTGATCGCTCGCAATTGAGACTTGTTTGCAAATTAGATTTATTTGGATTTGGATCGCAACTGAGATTTGATTGCAACATTTAATTGTATTACGTTTTGATTGCAATTAAGTGATGATTGAAATTTGTCATAATTTTTACAGTTTACGGAGATATTTATTGAAAACCGGGAGAAAGTATGGTTACAAAGCATATTTTGATGCTTTTTTGGTATGTTTTCAATAAATGAATGAAAAGTGGAACAACTGAGTTTTGATTGCAATCTTTTTTTTCAATTAAGTATTGATTGCAATTGAGTATTGATTGCAATTGAGTATTGATTGCAATTGAGTATTGATTGTAATTTAGTATTGATTTTCATTAAGTATATGATTGCAAATGAGTATTGATAATTTGTACTAATTGAAACTGACTCGATTGCAATTGATTTTATATCAACTAAGTTGATTACATTGCAACCAATTTTGATTGCAATTAAAAGTTTTAAATAATCTTATCGCTTTAGAATTTAAAGAAAACTGTCATATAAAATTATGTTGATTATTCGTTCTGGACAAAATCGGTAATCCGTGAATCCTGTGACTGTAAAATATTTTAATTGAATCAATTATTTACTGTAAACAAGATATTTTGGTTTTATTTTATTTTTATTTTAGTTTTTGTTTACAAAACAATATTGAATTAACAACTGTTCTATTCTCCAACCTTGGAACTTTTATATATATATACTAAATTATTTTTTTCAAAAATTCTCGAGAAAGATATGGGCCATTTTAATTGTGTTAAAGTTAATGAATAAAAAACAAATATTTTCTGCTATTTTATGAGAAACAATTCATTGTAAAGAAAAGTTTTGATGATACCATGAGTTTTAACTGACATTATAATTGTGTCTTATGAATTATTTTTTTTCATTTGGTTAAAGTTTTGCTCCTAAAATCCGGATCCGAATATTTAGCGTGAAGGATGTGGATCCAGGGAGCTAAAATCCTATAGATCCAATGGATGCAGATCCGGATCCTAAGCAATTCAAATATAAAAAAATTAATTTTTTCTTCAGTGGAGGTCAACAACGTCGGGTTTCCTTTCTTATATCCTTGTTAGCTGATCCTGAACTCCTTATCCTAGGTAATTACCGATTCGTGAAAATTAGGTAATTTTTAAAAGCGTAATTTAAAGTCGCCATCCATGGAAAAACGGCGATGCCCTGTATTTTCGTAATTTTGATATTAGGGACAGATTGTTCCTTCATCACTGCATGAATAAATTTTATTAGAAAGATGATTATTGTTATTATTATGAACTATTTGTAAATATCCAGAAAACTACGTTGAACTTTATCGGATATAATCATTCTTAAAGGGAGCGACCGGCAGTGTATGGTAGTTGTACTGAGATTGTAGTATTATTGAGAAATTTTTTAGGATTCATTTCAGACCTTCAGACGTTTTTACAGTGCTGAGTGCATATTTGTTCAGCAAGAGCGCAAATACCATTTTGGAGGGATGATTTTCAGAATCAGTTTTCAAAGATTATTCAAAAACCACTATGAAAAATGTAACAAAATTTCTACAATAAACTAAGAAGATGTTAAGGAACATATTTATCATTAAAAATTTGTCAATAAATCAATGTTAAATCAATTACTTCTTTTTCGCCATTGTATTGTTCTTTATGATTTTTTAAAAATGCTTTAAATGTCGTCTTTTCAATCAAAATACCAGAAAATCTAATTAGTTAACTGTACAATTTTTGTTACATTTTGTCGTCGTTATTCAACAATTTACAAAAACGATTCTCAAAACGTAACCACCAAACTGAATGATTTTGCACGTCGAGTTTGCGCTCAAACTCAGGAATTATACATCATTAAAATGTTTTATATGTATCAAATGAAGCCTTAAAAAAATTTCTTCACACTACGATATTCTTAGTTCAACTACCGTACAATGCCGTTCACTCCCTTTAACAAGTTTCAAAAATCGTTTAGTCGGAGAAAGCAATTTAGCATAATATTATAAGAAAATCTATTTTTTATTATCATCTAAATGTAATAACATCTTCATCTTTATCCGTTTTAAAAATATTTTCATTATCATCAGATTTTTTTATCATCCTTTCTCTTAGATATGAAAAATGACGTCAAAAAATTCAGTATCCTGGAAATTTTGGAAATTTTATCATTTTCTTAATTCCTATAGGTTCTACAGAAGAAAGAAATCTTTGTTATTTTACTCTTCTATATTTGCTTATTTGAAAGATATTTAAATACATATTTTGTTTAGACGAACCTACCGTAGGCGTAGATCCATTGCTGAGGTATTTCATGAATACATTGTTGGTGAAAATATTTTAATTATTTTTGAGAAGCTTTTCCTGCAATCATAGAGGAAGAAAACAATTTCAAGTGCTTATTGAGTCCTCGAAACCATTCACAATTTCCTTGTTTTCCAGCCTTTTCTTGATTTCAAGTGACCCTCTGTTTTTAAGAGTGGTGTGTCCGATTCACACTGAACCTTTTTCTGAAAAATAATGTGGTTATAGTTGTATCTTTTTTTTGTGAAAAATACCGAATACCAGTTTAAAATAGTCGGATTTAATAATTAGAAAAATAGATATTTAATTAATTCCTAACCAGACTAATCGTTTTTTAATAGTTCTGTTTTAAATCGGAGAATTCATTCTTTAGAAAGGTCACTTGAAATTGCGTTTTCATAGCCTTTAAGATACTATTTTAAACTTAAAACCAAAAATGAATATAAGTATATAAATAATTATATATAATTATATATATATACAGAGGAGTAAAAAAAACCAGGGATTATCGATGTTTTTGACAAAATTTTCAAAACTATTAATTTGGTTTGATTTTAGGCATAAATAAAGAAATATGTGATAAAAAATTCAAAAATAATATTTTTTGAACATTAAATAAAAAATCCGCGAAACTTTTTCGTTTTTTGAAAAGGTGAAATTTATTGAAAAATTGTTGGAAAAAAGTTTATTATATTGTTTTCTAAAATTTTATTAAAATTCATCAAATATTGAATAAGATATAACAAAAAATTCGCAACAAAATTAGGGTGGAAATCAGCAGTAAATGTTATTAAATTATAACCTTAGAACTGTTAAGATGAATTTTTATGAAATTTTGGAAAACAGTAGAATAAACAATTGAATTTTTCAACAAAAAATTGGTTTCGCGGATTTCTTTTTTCAATTTTCCTGTACAGTCATTTTTAATTTTATTGATACCAAAATGCTTTTATCAAAAATGTCTTAACGAATTAAAATTGTCGCCAATAACTTATATTTTGTAGTTTTATTATTATTATATCTAAGGGATCATGTTTAATATTTGATATCAGTCCCTTAGATTACAAAATCTCCTTAGACGTTGCTATTTAAGGTTGGAAGAAGTTGACTTTAATGTTTTATTATCAATGTTTGCGAAACATATCAGGGCCCGCGATTTAAAAGCTGCGTCTCGAGTCGTAATTCTATAAACTCGACTTTAAGACCCAACTCTTACGACAGCTTCTGTCACGTGATTGACAGCTGCAAGATCTTCGGCTTGACTTAAGGAAAAAAAACGACCTTGGTTGGTTTTAGTGGAGAATAAGGCTCAATGTTGAGCCTTGTTCTCAGAAAACCCCGGATTGCGCCAATTCCTACCATTAAAATCCGCCAAATAGAATATCAAACCGGTTTTTTTTTTAACTCAACTCTGTGGAAAATGAGATGCAGCTTGAATCCCAAAGCTCAAGTCGTAAATAAGGCCCAACGACAGCTTAGACCCGAGCTGTATTTTCTCATATTTTTTAAATCGCGGGCTCTGAAAATACAGTGAAAATCCGGATTTATGTTTTTTCGAACACACTGCTTTATAAAATTATGTTTTTTAGACAAAACATCTGGAACCATCTCCTTCATCTCGCAAGTCAAAGGAACTATCATTTTTGTTATAATTATTATACAAGCTGAGATCAAAAGTGTCGCTTAGGTTTTTTTTTTTTTACTGGTGTGTAATTGAACAGCGCCCGGGTAATATTACAGTGGCACTTTTGATTAATTTGGGATCTTACCCCACTGTATTAAATCATTAAAGCATTGCTGAGCGTAAACTTTGTTAAGTTTTTAAATGTAGAATTCCTAGAAAAAGTGTTTAAAAAACCATATTCCGCCTCGAAATTTCAAAGCATGGATAGTTTTAAGTTAAATTACTTGCACTCCGTAAAAATTGTGTATTGTATAAGTCGTTATTTCCTAATAATTTGGAAGAGAGGTTCTTGTGGGGATGAATTAACTTTGTTATCTTAGCATGGGAATATAAGAATACTGACAGTTTTAGGAAGAGCGCAGAACACTTTACTAATGAGTGTTACGCAAAACACATTCTTATTTTAAAATAAAAAAATTTACTAGAATCACAAGCTCCATCGATAATCGACATTCGACAAAATTGTTCATGGGAACCATATTCTCAGGACTTTCCTCTGAAGTTGTTGTAAATGATAAGTTCTTAAGTTGTAATAATAATAACTTTCCTCTTAGTTGTGTTGATAATAACTTTCCTCCAAGTTTTGTAATTGATAACTCTCATCTAGATTGTGTTAATAAAAACTTTCCTCCAAGTTGTGTTATTGATAACTCTCATCTAGATTGTGTTAATAACTTTCCTCCAAGTTGTGTTATTAATAACTCTCCTCTAGATTGTGTTAATAACAACTTTCCTCCAAGTTGTGTTATTAATAACTCTCCTCTAGATTGTGTTGATAATAAGTTGTTGTAATTAATAACTTTTCCTTAATTGGTGAATTTAACAACTTAACTCTTAAGTTGTTGTAAATAATTATTATTTAAGGGGTTTTCAAGAAATGTTTTATGTATGCTGACAATAGATCAATGAACTTTTAAGTGGCTTGACGGAATTCAAGTGACCCTCCATCTAAAGCAGACATGTCGGATTCACGACGTTATCTGTTATACCTCAGCCTGAAAATTATAAATATTCCTTTTTTCTTCCCAAAACTATCGTTTAGTGATTTTTCTGCCAAACAATTAATTGCTGATTTATGAAAGAGTCAAAGAAAAAAAACGGTCAGATCTAACGGGTACCGGTGTAAAATCTTTAAATGGGGTCACTTGAAATTCAAAACATTTGGTAATTCTTGGATACTTGGTATACATACAGCGTGCATCGTAAGATAGTTAGAACAATGGAACCAAACATTCATAAAGTTTGTACACCCATTTTAACGTTATTTGGAAAATTTAAGAAAGGCAGTGTGCGCATGAACAGTCCAATTACCTGACAAGAACTACTTTATCTCTCCTTTAAACAAAACTAGTAGAAAACAAACAGCAAACAAATTGTTTATGTTCTTCACTGTTCAGTTTTAGATTTTTAAAGTGTGATAGCTCTGAGTTCAAGGGGGGAGCACTGCCCCCTTGCCCCCCTCCTGTATCAGCCCTTGTTAATTTGATGATGAATAAAATATAAATAATGATGATCACAAATATAACAAAATTGATAATTCATTTAGGAGAAAAACTATTCTTATAACAACGCATTATATAGACGAGACTAAACAGGTTGGTCACGTTTTTATTTCTTATCCCAGCTCCTCATCAAACCCCTCCCCCCCCCACTCCTCTAATTTACCCCAGCTTTTCTTCGATCTACTCCCTTCCCTCCTCTTCTAATTTTCCCCAGCTCCATTTCGAGCTCCCCCCGGCCCCCCTCCCCTACTTTTTCCCAGCTACTCTGTGTTAAGGCCTCTAAAGTTGGGATGTTAAGCGGAGGACGACTTTTAGCCGAGGATTCACCTGGCTCACTTCTCCGCTCTTATCAGCTAGGTAACCTAACCATCTATGTTATCAGCTAGGTAACCTAATCATCAATGTTATCAGCTAGGTAACCTAACCATCTATGCTATCAGCTAGGTAACCTAACCATCAATGTTATCAGCTAGGTAACCTAACCATCTATGTTATCAGCTAAGTAACCTAACCATCTATGTTATCAGCTAAGTAACCTAACCATCAATGTTATCAGCTAGGTAACCTGGTCATCAATGTTATCAGCTAAATAACCTAACCATCAATTTTATCAGCTAGATAACTTTATCAACAATGTTATCAGCTAGGTATCCTAATCATCAATGTTATCAGCTAGGTAACTTGATCAACAATGTTATCAGCTAGGTAACCTAATCATTAATGTTATCAGCTGGGTAACTTGATCAACAATGTTATCAGCTAGGTAACCTAATCATCAATGTTATTAGCTAGGTAACCTAACCATTATGTTATCAGCTAGGTAACCTAATCATCAATATTATCAGCTAGATAACCTAGTCATCAATGTTATCAGCTAGGTAACCTAACCATCAATGATATCAGCTAGGTAACCTAACCATCAATGTTATCAGCTAGGTAACCTAGTCATCAATGTTATCAGCTAGGTAACCTAATCATCAATGTTATCAGCTTGGTAACCTAACCATCAATAATATCAGCTAGGTAACCTAACCATCAATGTTATCAGCTAGGTAACCTATTCAGTAATGTTATCGATGTCTGTTTTTCTTGCAGTTTATATCAATTCTTGCGTTTGTTTATATCCATCAATGTTATCAGCTAGGTAACCTATTCAGTAATGTTATCGATGTCTGTTTTTCTTGCAGTTTATATCAATTCTTGCGTTTGTTTATATTAATACAATTGATAACGTTCACTAGTTTAAAATAACCATTTATACTTAAAATTTCATTTAACATATTTGCCCGATGAAAAACAGCTTATTAGAACTTGAAGCTTAAATAAAAAGTCGTCATCATTGTATTGAAGTAAATGCTTACAACTTGCTGATTGAAATGATTGTTGTTTGTAAGTATTTGAATTTATGCCTGAAAGGATCTTAGTGCAATAATTGGATTGCAACGGATTTTTGTCCGTGATTATTAATTATTTTTTTTACGTTTAACATTGTCGAGCATTTTTTCTTTATACCAAAAATGTATTTAATGATGAGAGGTGGACAGGACAATTATGCTTCCTTGTGTATAATTCTTAAGAATAGACCTGGGATAATTCTTTGATTTCTTAAATAGGTTCAGGATGGTTCCTAGTTATATTCCTTGATACTTTTTGTTAAGATAATCTTGAAGATGTGTTCCTTATCCTTTGTCAACGTGAGAGGGATAGCCAGGAAAGCTTAAACGAGACACAGCCAAGTTTGAATCAAACCAAACCATCATTCAACCAAACCAAACCATCATTCAACCAAACCCAACCGTTCACCCCATCCTTTGCATCCACGCAAAAACTAAAGAACGATATTTTTGCAACCTCTAAAGTTGTTTCAAGTAAGATTTTAATATTTGTGAAAACTATGTTAATAAACTCAAAATCCAAGAAGAATTTTAAGTTATAAAAGTACAAAAAATATAAAGTCGTATTTTTATGATTTCAGTTAAGGGAGTCAGGGACTTCATTTTGTAAAAGTAGATTATTTGTCAAAAACTATTTTACTAAAAATGTAAAAGTTAATAAAAATTATTGTCTTAGAATTCGATTCTTTTTTATTTAAAGTGTTATTGACTGTTTTTATTTAGTTGTTATTTATTGGGTTTTAGGGTTTTTTTTTTAAAAAATATATTTTGAAAATTCTCCGTTTATTTATTTAAGGATTAGCTCCAGGTCTCACGGATCCTAATGGTCTTGATATCTCAGGTCTAGTTAAATATTTAATTTTTTTTTTTAATGTTTTATGGGTCTGAAAATTTTCTTGAATAATCCTTTTTAGATTAATTTTGTTGTAAGAGTTTCTTTCTCTGAACTTGGGAAAAAAGGGTTTTAGGGGAAAATAATTAAATTTTTGGGTATTAAGCTTATTAAAACAGATAAATAAGAAAAACTCTTTTCATTTTTAATTCTTGAAATTCCAACTGCGGTTTTTTTAATTAATTTTTATTTTTCACAATGTGACTTTCTCACGCTTAAGGGTTTTTTACAAAAGTAGTATGACTATATTCCTACGTATTTTAACTCTGATTGTATTACTCATTTACAGAATGTTCTGTGTACAGCGTTATTCTAAAAAATGACTAATATTTGTCATATATTGTTCATGTTTATTGAATGAAAAGTATTTTAATTAACTTATATTTAAATTTAAAGAGTTTCATTTTTGTATGACGTTGGTCCAAAAGTGAGACATGGCTCAAACTTGGTCATGTGGCAAGGAACTTCGAACTTGACAAACAAATGTTGATGGGATGTTTTATAAATAGGAAGAAGTCCAGACTGAAAAACCAGGACACGGAAAGGACTTGAACCTCCAATCCAGTACTGGAGTCCATCGCCACCCCCGCCCCTTGTGATTTGATTTGATTTGATTCATAAAGATTAAGTCATGGTCCGTTCTATACATGTAAAATAGCACAATGGGACTGAAAAACGAACATATGTGCATTTCAATAATTACTGATCTAGCCACGCTCCCTCCCTGGAACCACTTGACACACTGGAAATGTACAACCCCCCTAATTCTACACCTCGATTGATTGATTAACTCGAAATATACAGCTACATTCAGCTGACTGTTTAGTAAATCTCTTTCATGCTAGATGGGCAGGATGGTCTCTCATCGATTATGATTAGTATTTGATATTTTGCCCTCATGCTTTTCTGGAAAGACGCTCAAGGGTTTTTAAGAAGTAGTATGACTATATTCCTACGTATTTTAACTCTGATTGTATTACTCATTTACAGAATGTTCTGTGTACAGCGTTATTCTAAAAAATGACTAACCTTTATGTTAATTAACTTCTACTTCCCATTTTAGATGTGAATAGCGAACTCGAGTACTTTGACAGTCAAATGAAAGAAAAAAGGTAAAAACAAATATTTAATGATCTGAATAATACATATTTTGCTCATAATTTGTATATGAATATTTAAAGCCAAAAAATATTAATCTATGAAAGAAATTAAACGTTTATGTTTGGTTATTCATATTTCATATTTTGTTCATATTTCATATTTGGTTCATATTTCATATTTGGTTCATATTTCATATTTGGTTCATATTTCATATTTGGTTCATATTTCATATTTGGTTCATATTTGGTTATATTATGAACAATTAAGATATTAGTAAATTATTAAAAATGTTGGAAAATGATTTTTAAATCTACAATTACCCAAATTATAAATTAAGATAATTTTGGTTTGCAGGCCCAACACCATTTTAAAAGAATTGAATAGTATTCATTGGTATCCATAAAAATCTGGAATAAGAAGATGATTTTTAAGCATTAGCAATCTAGTGTGTACTGTGTAGCTAAGGTTGTTAGAAAGCTAATTATAGTACTCCCTGCAGTGGCTTGAAAATAAACCTAATATTTTATATGGGTCTGTGAGTACACCACAGTGCTGAATTGATGTGTTTCATGTTTATTGGAATATTTAAATCATAACTGTCGTCTTCTTATTCCACCAATTTATAGGTTTAACTGTATAAACTCTCAAATTATTTAAATTATACCTTTTTAGGATGAAGGATCAATCTTGTTTCCCAGCCTGCCCATCAAGTAAGTAATACGTGTGTTGTATAAAGGATTTAATTTTTTTTTTAACTGACTGTATACGGTATTTCAAGCGATCCTTAATTGAGTGCGTTACAAGTAAAAGCTAAAAATCTATAATGCGCGCATATTTTGCATTAATGTTTTAGACCAGGTCGACTTTGAAGTATCGTAGCGCTTATAGGCCTTTGGTTATACCTACCCTTTACTCACTCAAACTTTTTTGAAGTCTTATACATTTAAAAGCGGTTTTCAAGAAGAAGCTTTAAAGGAGTAATTGACAAAATCCTGACCAAATTTATGAGTCAGAGTGTGCACAGTTTGGTTCACTGCCTTGGAAAATATCTTGGTTGTTTTTCTGATACAATTAAACATTTCCTTCCCATAATTTACTTCTTTTCTGATACAATTAAACATTTCCTTCCCATAATTTACTTCTTTTCTGATACAATTAAACATTTCCTTCCCATAATTTACTTCTTTTCTGTGCTTCGTAAATCCGCTAGTCACTTTAAAGATGAAGCGCTATTAAGAAATATAAATTTTTACGCAAAATAGTTCTCTCGTCAATTTTTCATACCAAAGGTTTAAAAGGAACAAAATAGTGAATCAGACGTGAGGGGTCGCTTGAAATCACGTTAACAAACACACAGTAATGATTTCAAAAATTATTATTTTTTCCTTGGAAGATTCCTTGCTTATGATTCCAGGACTTGTATCAATAACAGGCTTGGCAAAGGTTGATGAAAATTTAAAGGTTTTCCCCAACGCTTCCGAAGCTTCATGTCTGAAGATTGTTGACAATAAACAAAATTTGGTTTTACAATCTAAATCATTAATTGAAACATTTAATTTCTGATATTATTTTAATTATTATTTAACAAAAAGTCGAGTGTGTTACAATGCATAAATTTGATTAAAGGGATTGTAAGCGTAATTTCAAGTGATCCTCCATGCAAAGATGGCAATGCCAGATACACAACGGTAGCCTTAAAACCTTTATCTGATCAATAATGTGGAAGATTTGTTCGTTTCCCTAGGGTTGTACGTGATAAACTTTTATAATTCCTTTATGTTTTCCTGCAGAAATGCGCAAGTCAATTTTGTAGAGAAACATCTAATTGAAATAACCGGTCTTTTAAACAATGGTAATTGGAATTTAATTCATACAATTGATCAGAATAAGCTTGTAAGGGGACCGTTTTGAATCGGATATTGCCATCTCTGCACGGAAGGGTCTTCCCGCCATCCAGGTCAAAATATCTTTATATTCCTACTTCCCGCCATCCAAGTCAAAATATCTTTATATTCCTACTTCCCGCCATCCAGGTCAAAATATCTTTATATTGCTACTTCCTGACATCCAGGTCAAAATATCTTTATATTCCTACTCCCCGCCATCCAGGTCAAAATATCTTTATATTCCTACTTCCCGACATCCAGTTCAAAATATCTTTATATTCCTTCTCCCCGCCATCCAGGTCAAAATATCTTTATATTCCTACTTCCCGACATCCAGTTCAAAATATCTTTATATTCCTACTTCCCACCATCCAGGTTAAAATATCTTTATATTCCTACTCCCCGCCATCAAGGTCAAAACATCTTTATATTCCTACTCCCCGCCGTCCAGGTCAAAATATCTTTATATTCCTACTTCCAGCCATCCAGGTCAAAATATCTTTATATTCCTTCTTCCCGCCATCTAGGTCAAAATATCTCTATATTCCTACTTCCCGCCATCCAGGTCAAAATAACTTTATATTCCTTCTTCCCGCCATCCAGGTCAAAATATCTTTATATTCCTACTTCCCGCCATCCAGGTTAAAATAACTATTCCTACTTCCCGCCATCCAGGTCAAAATATCTTTATATTCCTACTTCCCGCCATCCAGGTCAAAACATCTTTATATTCCTACTCCCCGCCATCCAGGTCAAAATATCTTTATATTCCTACTTCCCGCCATCCAGGTCAAAACATCTTTATATGCCTACTCCCCGCCATCCAGGTCAAAATATCTTTATATTCCTACTTCCCGCCATCCAGGTCAAAACATCTTTATATTCCTACTCCCCGACATCCAGGTCAAATGATTGATCACAAAATGCGCGAAGCGTTAAAATAAAACATTTTAGACTGAAAAGGCCTTATTTTTTGTTTTTTATTAAATATTATATACCGACACATTTAGACATCAATCTGGTTTTATCAGGACAAAGATGTTTAACTTTTCTGTTTTTTAAGAATAAACTGGTTTCAGAGAAGTCCTTATAGTCCCTAGTAAAATATTATTATATAATTATTTGTTAAAATATCTAAATTCTAGTTTGTTTAGGCTATTTATTAATTTTATTCATGATAAAACATATGATTTGGTAAATACAAGTCTGCTACGTAAAACATCTATCTGCTCTTGATGCCTGTTGGTTTGTTTCTCATAAACGTAAAAACAGCTAAAACTACCAGATTAAAATTTGATGTGGCTACTCTGACACGACCCCAGGGAAGGTTTATGAAGGTCGGATTGAAAAACAATCCTAAAAAGGTTACCTCCCAGGGAAGGACTTTTGGCTGTCCAAATTGTAAATTAAGTTCCGGGGGAAAAGGTCGACATTTACTCATCAATTCAAGCAGAAATATTCTCATAAAATTAAAACATAATGACGTCTTGTAGAGAAACATTTAAACATTAACTTAGTTAACAGAAAAGGTGGCGGGAAGCGCATTAAAAGCCTATTTATTTATTTATTTCAGGCTGACTCCATGTTAAATTATTGTTTTGTTTTTAGGTTGTGTTTTTCTGTGTTGCTATTGGTCAGGAACCTGCAAATCTCAGGTAAAATGACAAGAAGATGAATCTCTTGAGATATGATGATGTCCTATGGATTCTAAAATTCTCGAATTTTCCTAGATTAATTTAATTTTGAGGCAGAATCTATAAATGTCCCGAGAAAAAAGTTTCAATTATTTTTTTTCTATGGTGTGCCCTCAGCGTTGCCCATGTTTATATTATTATTTAAAGTCAATAGTCCCTTCAGCCGTTTACCCATGCTTGGAATTAAATCATGATTTTAGCGCTGAAGTGCCCGGCGTTGTCCGTGAAATTTGAAGGAAAAAAATGCTTACGACACCTCTGGGATACCCAATACCCAATACCCATGGGTTTCCTAAAAAAATGTCCGCCTATTTGGTCCAGACGTTTGTCCTGCTAACATATATATAAATATACACATACTAGGCTGATAGGGCGCGTCGCACCCATCAATTGTGAACATGTTTTCTTTGTATACATTGTAAAACCAAAACAAACAAAAAAAATCGTGGATTTGGGTCACGTAGGATTCCAAAATGTTTTTTGGAATTTTTGGGATTTAAAAAGAAAATAAGGCTTTATGTCAGACGAAAAGCCTTCACCTCGAAGGGATTGTGAGGTCAAGGAGCTTTTGGACACCTCCCTAGTTTCTTGATATGACAATATGATCTGACAACAAATTTAAAACTTTATAAATTAAGATATTATGATTAAAATGTCGGATTTAACAGTTCTGTCCTTATCCCAGCAATCTGTGACTTTCGATCACAATTTGAACTATTTAACACTTTTTTGTCGGCATATACGTTCAAATGAAAAATTATAAATAAAAAAACTCCGTAAGCCTAAATATTGCTGAATTATAGGAAAAACATCCATTGAATTTAAATAGAAGAAACCGAATGGCCGAATTAAAGAATTTAAGCCGCGTCCCTGAACCGCCAAAACCGGTTTAAATTCAGCGCCGGCTCAAATCTCGAAACACTGAAAACGATTGAGGAACCATCCAGGTTTGAGTTACGGCTGAAATTCTTCAAATTCGGCCTTACGAGGGCGGAGCATCTATATTTTGTTTGTAGACTAGGAGTTGTTAACGAGGAATCCTTCAACTGCTCTGATGTGTCTACAGGATGTTCTCTCAGGTTAAAGTGTTGTTAATTATTTTTGATCTTCTGAGAAAGAAAATTGATAAAACTTCCAAGATTTCAAAACTCCATTATGTTAAAGTTTGCTTTGTTGAACTTTGCATTATATTTATCTTTAAAAAAAAAATTGGAAAAACTGTCCAAAAGGAATCTTTACACCACGTTCGTTTTTGCATCGTTTTGGATCGTTTTACATCGTATTTTGCATATTTTTTTTTATAATTTGACATACTTGAAGAAGAGCAATTGTTGAGAATCAAAATTTAGAAAATATTTACTTAATGACAAATTTTGAGCCTGAAAGAAAATATAGGCAGAACTTAAAGAGACTTTATTCCATGCTCTCCGAAAACAAATTTTTATTCAAATAGTTAAGATCAGATCGTGGCCCTTATTAATATTGTGATACACATTTTTCCAGCCTGGCAAATTTACCGAACCTGAAGTTTATTCCCTCTCATTTCTTATACGATGGCTACTTGAGCTTTCAATAGGGTTTTAACTCCTATACATAAGTTTTCAATAGTGAACTCAAAATAACTCAAAATTTTCTTTCTCCCACAGCGAAGTTTAGATCATAAAAACTGTTCCTCACAATGTACTTTTCATTCTTTCAGAAAAATTATGATTTTTTTATGATTTGAAAAATAAGTTACCTTAATTAGTTCTTAAAATTCTTAAATTGCATTTTATTAAATTACATCAAATTGTTAAATTAAGTTTCTGTAATACTGTTATGACTAAAAAATAAAAAAAGTAGTCACTTAATTAGTTTCTGAATCTTGATATTTGGCTATGTAGAAGTTAAATAACTTCTATTCAAATTTGGTTATTTTTTATTTTATATTGAACTATTTTTCTTATTCTGGAAAATTATGGGGTTTTATTACAACATTATCTGTTCGTGGTAGATATTGTTTAAACCTCTTTTAAATAAAAAATTTAGAAAATTATGATCTTATAGCTTTAAATAGAAAAATAACAAGGGTCTACTTGGCACTTGGTGGATTTTAATAATGATCTTAAATTTGATACAATCCATCGATGTATGCGCAATGGGTTCGATTTTTAAAATGAAATATGAAGAATATGGCGAAATATGAAGCGAAAAAACACGCGTTAGATCAACAGTTTTCTCTTTTTATCTTTTTATCTCCATTTACGCGTCTGTGTAGAGACTTCTAGCTAATTGGCCCTTCTAATCTAATATTCATATCATTCCTTACATTTGACCCTGATTATAAACCAGATAATAAACTTAATCATTCATTTTTATTTTCATTATATTATTCAAAAAAATATAAAAAAATTTCCTTTTTTCTGAAAGGCTCATCCATTTTTAACATAAAAATAAAATATTTTTTTTTTGTTAAATTCTGTTTTTCACATAAATATTTGTTCAATAATATTTGTTTAGTGAGCTTAGTTGTAGATATCTTCAAGTTCTTGAAACAAGAATTCAGATAACAAGGTGAAGGAAAAATAGATTTTTAAGGTTTTTCTTAATATTTTAAGTTTTTGAAGCTTTCTGTTAAAAATTCATAGAAGGTTTTTAAAAATGTTTTTTTTTATGTTGTAAATTTAGCTAAATTTAGTGGAACTATAGTTTAATATTAAAACTGATATTTTCAACCAATTAATATTTAATGTTTACGCCCAAATTTATATTTTTATTTAAGAGTGCTTCAGAGCCCCCATTTATATTAATATTGAGTACTTGACGCCCCCATTTATATCAATATTGAGTACTTGACGCCCCTATATAAATTAATATTTAATTTAAAAATGTTTTTTTTTATGTTGTAAATTTAGCTAAATTTAGTGGAACTATAATATTAAAACTAATATTTTCAACCAATTAATATTTAATGTTTACGCCCAAATTTATATTTTTATTTAAGAGTGCTTCAGAGCCCCCATTTTTATTAATATTGAGTACTTGACGCCCCCATTTATATTAATATTGAGTACTTTACGCCCCTATATAAATTAATATTTAAAAGTACTTCATGCTTAGATATATATTAATATTTAAGAGTGCTTCAAACTCAAATGTAAATTAATATTTAAGAGTACTTCACGCCCCTATATAAATTAATATTTAAGAGTACTTCATGCTCTCATATATATTAATATTTAAGAATACTTCATGCTCTTATATATATTGATATTTAAGAGTACTTCATGCACTGATATATATTAATATTTGAGAGTACTTCAAGCTCTCATATATATTAATATTTAATAGTACTGCATGCACTAATAGATATTAATATTTAAGAGTACTTCATGCTCTCATATAGATTAATATTTGAGTGTACTTCATGCTCTTATATATATTATTATTTAAGAGTACTTCATGCTCTCATATATATTGATATTTGGGTGTACTTCATGCCCTTATATATATTAATATTTAAGAGTAATTCATGCTCTTATATATACTATTATTTAAGAGTACTGCATGCTCTCATATATATTAATATTTGAGTGTACTTCATGCTCTTATATATATTAATATTTAAGAGTACTTCATGCACTAATATATATTAATATTTAAAAGTCTTTATGCACTGATGTATAATTTAAGAGTACTTCATGCACTGATATATAATTTAAGAGTACTTCATGCACTGATATATAATTTAAGAGTACTTCATGCACTGATGTATAATTTAAGAGTACTTCATGCACTGATGTATAATTTAAGAGTACTTCACACACCTCTTTACAAGTATAAATTCCGGTTTTCCCTCCCCAAAGTACTTGTGTACACTATGAAACTAATCTTTTTACAGATTTTCTCGTTTTTTGGTAAATTTTAAAAAATGAAAATTTTTCAGATGAAAACAAACCAAAAGACAATCTATATTTCTAAAATTTTTACAATTTTGCTTAAGGTTTGATAACTCCAGTTTAGCTGAAGTTGAAGCTGAAAATGGAGATATTTGGGGGGTCATTCAATTCAAGGTTGGTTACTATTATTTATTAACCTTGAATGAATCTAAACTAAGTTTAAAACATCAAATGTTCATTTTTTACAGTGTTCTTCATGAAACATACCCTTTTTGAAAAAGTCGCAAAAATCTATTTTCCTGATGTTTTGTTTTTCCCAAAATGAATAAGAATAATAATAATAATGATAATAATGATAAAAATGGTATTAATGAGATTAATGATATTTATGATATTAATGATAATAATGATAATATTGATAATAATGATAATAATGATAATAATGATAATAATAATGATAATAATGATTATAATGATTATAATGATGATAATGATAATAATGATAATAATGATAATAATGATAAAATGATAATAATGTTATTAATGATATTGATGATATTAATGATATTAATGATTATAATGGTTATAATGATAATAATGATAATAATGATAAAAATGATAATAATGATAAAAATGATAATAACGTTATTAATGATATTAATGATTATAATGGTTATAATGATAATAATGATAATAACTATGATTATGTTAATAATGAAAATAATGATAATAATAATAATAATGATAATAATGATAATAATGATAATATTAATGATAATAATGATAAAAGTGATAATAATTATTTTAATGATGATAATGATTAAAATAATGATAATGATAATAATCATAATAATCATAATAATCATAATAATCATAATAATCATAATCATCATAATCAATAATGATAATAATGATAAGAATAATAATAATGATAATTATGATAAAAATGATAATTATGATAATAATGATAATGATAATAATGATAATAATGATGATAATAATCATAATAGTAATGATAATAATGACAGTAACGATGATAATGATGATGATGATGATGATAATGATAATAATGATAATAATGATAATAATGATAATAATGATAACAATGATAACAATGATAACAATGATAACAATTATAACAATGATAACAATGATAACAATGATAACAATGATAACAATTATACCAATGATAATCATGATAATCATGATAATCATGATATTAATGATATTAATGATAATAATGATAATAATGATAATAATGATAATAAGGATAATGATAATAATGATAATAATGATAATAATGACAACAATGATATTCATGATAATAATGATAATAATGATAATAATAATATTAATGATAATAATGATAAAGATAATAATGATAAATTTAAAATTCAGTGATGGTGATGGACCAAACCTCTGTAGAGTAAAAAAGTAGATGTTATAATTCGGTCTGGGTTGACCCTCGTCAGTTCTAACGAGATATAATAATAATGATAATAATGATGATTAATAATGATAATAATGATGATTAATAATGATAATAATGATAAAAATAATGATAATGATAATAATGATACTATGATAATCTAATCTATGTTAATTGTTAAGGCCAATTTCTCATCTGCATATGTGGCAAGAATCTCATCACCCATAGATGTGGACAAACAGGTCTTTTATATTATACTTATAGCTGAAGTAACCGGTTTTTAAATTCACTTTTTATTTTAAGTCAACCTCGGCTTATCCATGGGTTTCCTTATAAAAGTTTACTTCCCCTTTTTTCATTTTAAACCCAAAAGTACTTCAAAAATGATTTCCAGAACAAAAGCTTTGCTTATTTCTAACGTTAATGAATGAAAGTTTTTGAACGTACTTATTTTCAACGCATACTTTTTTTTTGCAAAATCATCCATTCTTATTTACATTTAATGAAAGATATTGTTATTGTTTTTTCTCAGAAATTTCCAACTGCCTCATTTATTTGTAAGATTGTATTTCTGTGGAAATTGGGTAACTAATAATGTTAATAGGCGTAAAGTCAACCAAAAACTAGTTCTTTCAAAAAATTATTTGATTATTTTTTCCTAGACGCTAACCGACAGCAGTTTGGATATCCGGCTTGATATGTCAAATCAACAGGTAATCTAGTAACTGTCCTAAGATCCGGATCTGAACAAACAGGTGACAAACTTTCCCACTCCTGATAAGGATCTGGAACCGAATCTAAACCAACGTGTGACATTTTTTCTTCCTCCTACTTCGGATCCGTATAGGAATCAACTTGTAAAATATTTCCTGTCTTCGGATCCGGATCCAGGTAAACTGATAGCTTACGTCTTAAAGTATCGAGTTTTAAGGATGAATTCGACGTTTCTTGAGGACAAAGTAAAACAGATTTATCTCGTCTCTCGTGAGTAGAAATTGTCCCTTGGTTTACAAAAGCATGCTCAGGGTTTATTCTTTTATTAGCTGAAATATTAATTTCGTACTTTTTTACGTTTTGTAATTTTTCACATTTAAACAAAGTCTTGAATTGTTTGTGGTGATATTGTCAGTACTCATCAGTGACCGGAAATTCATTTTTTAAGGAGGGGGCCCTTTTAAAAAATGTTGAAGCAGACAATATATATTTAGATTGTAGATATGTTTACCTTGTTTTTTTATTAAATTTCTAAATTTTGTTAGGTTGCATTAACACTCCAGAACATGATTCTTCAATCCTTTGATAATTTTACTAAATCAGTTCTACGCGACTGCAGTTACCCAGAGGTTGGTAGTTTTAATATTACGATATAGGATATAGAATAAAGAGGAAATGAAGACGACAATACAATTCAACAATATAATCAATTCATAGTTATTTTTTCCCCACTTAATTTTGTGGCCCTTTGCACGAACGTAATAACATTTATTAATTAGCTGACAACCGCTACTACGTAATTTCAGACATTGTGATCAAATTAAAGTGATTTGTAGATTTTTTAACAATTGGTCAATCAAGTATTTGAAGAAAAAATGTTAAGAAAAATTTAAAATTTTGAGTCTTATAAATTAGTTATTGTACAATGATTTGAATTTGAATTATATATAGCAGCTGTGAAGCCACTTGCTAGTTGGTCGGATTTGTAATATAGCGGATTTAGCATAGGTCAGAAGTGGGGTATAGTGGATTTGCGTAGGTCGAAAAATACACTGTCCAGAGTATTGTGACTGTACATTGTACAGGGTGTCCCAAAAAACATGGGAATTCAGTGACGAATTTGGTATCATCTTTGTTATAAATTGGCATTATAATACCTAATTTCAGAAGTTATAATATTATTATGTCTGCTAGAATTTATTTTATGAAAAGGGTAAAAGACTGCAAAGATGTGTCTATAATGTCTCCGCAAGATGAACATTGAAGATGGACAAGTTTATTCTGTTTGTATACTGCAATTTTCTTGTTTTACTAAGTACAACAGTATGCAGTCAAAACATAAACAAACAAAATGTAAACATAGCAGACGAAACTCTAACAGATTACAGCTTTCTCAGAAAGTATCACTATACTAAATCAAAGAATTATTTAAAAAGACGATATCGAATTCGTCACTGAATTCCCATGTTTATTGAGACACACTGTACATTTACATTATGTATGTTTTGTATTGTGTTTTAGAGGCAGTATCTAATCTATACCTATATTTTGTTCAGGAGGCAGCATCTTTACCTATATTTTGTTCAGGAGGCAGCATCTTTACCTATATTTTATTCAGGAGGCAGCATCTTCACCTATATTTTGTTCAGGAGGCAGCATCTATACCTATATTTTGTTCAGGAGGCAGCATCTTTACCTATATTTTGTTCAGGATGCAGCATCTTTACCTATATTTTGTTCAGGAGACAGCATCTTTACCTATATTTTGTTCAGGAGGCAGCATCTATACCTATATTTTGTTCTGGAGGCAGCATCTATACCTATATTTTGTTCAGGATGCAGGATCATTACCTATATTTTGTTCAGGAGGAGGCATCTATACCTATATTTTGTTCAGGAGGCAGCATCTTTACCTATATTTTGTTCAGGAGGCAGCATCTTTACCTATATTTTGTTCAGGAGGCAGCATCTATACCTATATTTTGTCCAGGAGGCAGCATCTTTACCTATATTTTGTTCAGGAGGCAGCATCTATACCTATATTTCGTTCAGGAGGCAGCATCTTTACCTATATTTTGTTCAGGAGGCAGCATCTATACCTATATTTTGATCAGGATGCAGGATCATTACCTATATTTTGTTCAGGCAGCATCTTTACCTATATTTTGTTCAGGAGGCAGCATCTTTACCCATTCACTGGGGAGAACCTTACTATGGAGGGAAGGTAAATACGGGAATAAAAGGTCGGTTTATCTATTCGTGTACAAGAGAAGGAGTTTAACTTTAATTTATTTAAAAGTTCTAAACATTAATCAACCAAATTTAGTCTTTTATTTTCAACATTAAAGTGGTAAAATAAACCCTAAAATTAGAACTAGAATATCTCTAAGTTTTTCAGTCATGATTGTAAAGTTTAGCAACCTTTTCTAGTTTATTTTAACCTTTTACTGTTTTATACCAGTTCAAAATCAGATGTGTATCCTGATCCTAATCCTGATCTTAACATTTTAGAATCCTAGTTTTACCGAATTCATGGCTCCTGGTATCATTATTCTCATCATTTACTTTCTAGCCGTAGCGCTCACAGGTAATTACTATATAAAGTCAAGGAAGTTGTAATCAGTGCAAGGAGTTCAGTTAACTTTTAGTTATAATACAACAACTAGCTCAAGTTTTTCTTTTTCGGCGGGACTGGGGGAACTTAAATGTGATTTTTAAAATTCTTAATTTTAAGTTTCATTCAGAGATTTCAGAATACTTTTATTAATTGAGAGTAAATAAATAGTTTCATTCATACTTGTCAGCGTAAATAAATAGTTTCATTCATACTTGTCAGAGTAAATAAGTAGTTTTATTCATACTTGTCAGAGTAAATAAAGTAAATAAATAGTTTCATTCATACTCGTCAGAGTAAATAATTAGTTTCATTCATACTTGTCAGAGTAAATAAATAGTTTCATTCATACTTGTCAGAGTAAATAAGTAGTTTCATTCATATTTGTCAGAGTAAATAAATAGTTTCATTCATACTTATCAGAGTAAATAATTTGTTTCATTCATACTTGTCAGAATAAATAAATAGTTTCATTCATACTTGTCAGAGTAAATAAGTAGTTTCATTTATACTTATCAGAGTAAATAAATAGTTTCATTCATACTTGTCAAGAGTAAATAAATAGTTTCATTCATACTTGTCAGAGTAAATAAATAGTTTCATTCATACTTGTCAGAGTAAATAAATAGTTTCATTCATACTTGTCAGAGTAAATAAATAGTTTCATTCATACTTAGCCAGAGTAAATAAATAGATTTTTAAAAAATGTTCTCTGTATGAAAACAATTTTTTTTATTTTCAAGGTGAAGCATTTATATCCGAGAGAAGTTCAGGGATACTGGATCGATCTTGGATCGCTGGAGTAAAACCATCAGAGATTATNAAAATACACAGTACACAGTAGATGGAACTTGGAACAAAATTTACAGTACGCAGTAGATGGAACATGGAACAAAGTACACAGTACGCAGTAGATGGAACATGGAACACAGCACGCTGTACATACACAGTATACAGTACATAGTTCGCTGAATATGGAACAAAGTACACAGTACGCAGTACATGGAACAGAGTAAACAGAATACGGAACAAAGTTCACAGTACGCAGTACATGGAACTAAGTAAACAGAACACTGAACAAAATACACAGTACAAAGTACATGGAACAAAGTATACCGTATACAGTACACAGCTCGAAGTGCATGAAACACAGTACATATAAAATTGAACAAAGTACACAGTACAGGGAACAAAGTACATCGGTTTCACCGGTACAAACACACAGCTTCTCAGTGCGTATGTGAAATAAACTTATCATTATTTTTCTTTTTTTAAAGCTTTATTAGAATCGAGCAGCCATGTAGAAAAAACTGTTTAAAAAGCACTCTACTAGATTTTATATCTTAAGTGCTTTTTGGAATCATTAGGCTTTACTTTTCATTAAAAACATTTAAAAGGAGAAATCTGGGTGGTAACTTGGTACATTGTTTTGAAGTTAGGAAGATTTACTCCATCTAAAAATGGATCATAAATTTTTTTGTTGAAGAGATTTCTTTTTCTTTTGCTTAAGAAAAATATCTTTAACTACATTTAAATGGTTGTTAACCTTTTTGACACTGCATTTTGCAATTTGAACTGTAGACCAGTTTTAGAAAATGTCTTATTTATTTATTGTTTTTGATTTTTGGATCCTAAATTTATTTTTTAAGATACATCAATTTCGCTGCCTTGAGATTAGCATCTTTTGATATTTTGAAGGGTTCAGGATATTAATCTCGAGATATAATGCAGGGTTCATGAGATTTATCTCTAGATATACTGTAGGATTCATGAGATCAATCTCTAGATATACCGTTAATTTCATGAGATTAATCTCGAAATAGATATATTGATGAGATTAATCTCTAGATATATTTGTAGGGTTCATGAGATTAATCTCTAGTTATATTATAGGGTTCATGAGTTTAATCTCTAGATATATTGTAGGGTTTATGAGTTTAATCTCTTGATATATTGAAGGGTTCAGGAGATTAATCGCTACATATATTGTAGGGTTCATGAGATTAATCTCTAGATATATTTTAGGGTTCATGAGATTAATCTTTGGATATATTGTAGGGTTCATAAGATCAATCTCGAAATATATTGTAGGGTTCATGAGATTAATCTCTAGATATACTGTAGAGTGCATGAGATTAATCTCTGAATAGATAAATTGTAGGGTTCATGAGATTAATTTCTAGATTTATTGTAGAGTTAATAAGATCAATCTCACAATATATTGTAGAGTTCATGAGATTAATCTCTAGATTTATTGAAGGGTTCGTGAGATTAATCTATGGATATATTGTAGCGTTCATGAGATTAATCTCTAGATATACTGTAGAGTGCATGAGATTAATCTCTAGATATATTGTATGGTTCATGAGATTAATCTCTATACATATTGTAGGGTTTGGCTGGCATGAGTTTTGGTTTTTTAATCTCTGCACTCTGTGACTCTCAAGCAGTAGCAATGCAGCTTTCTATTGGATCCTTCTATCCTAACCTTCTTCTAAGTGGTAAATATATAATGTATACAACTGTTGCAAGATGGCGTCAGGATCACTTTCTAATTCTTAGACTTTGTATTAAGATCTTGCCATAGGGATTCCCACTATAGCTATATAACATAACTAGGTTTTTAGGGCGTTTCGCGCCTCATTTCCTGTAAACAATTTTAACTGTTGTTGTTGCTTTGAAAGTCTGCCACTTTAAAGTTTGGCGGATTTTCTTTTCGAATTGGCGCATTTTAAAAAAATCCAACTTTTCCCAGGAGTTTTCTTTCCAATTTTGATATTCCATAAACCCTCCCTGGGGTCATGAAGATTCCACACAAAATTTAGGCCCGATCGGTTCAGCCGTTTTAATGTTTATTGGATACAAACGGACGGACAGATAGACAAGAAAGTATATAAATACATGGCTTTCTTCTCTTTCAATTGTGAACATTTTCTCTTTATGTGTATTGTAAAACAAAAACAAAAAATTTCGAAGATTTCATAAAACAAATTCGTGGATTATTTAAATTTAATGGTAATCAAATTTTGTTAGAGGCTAATTTTTGAAATGCTGATCAAACAAGCAGACAAGTTAAATATATATAGATATAGGTAGATGAACCAATTAACAATAAATGTTTTAATGGTTAAAACTAAGAATGGCCTCAAATTATAAATAAGAGTGATGCCTATTAGGTGGAAGATATAGGACTGCCGTATGTGTTGCANTCTTGTATATGTATTAAGTTTAAGTTTAATGTTATTTTTTACCTAATTTTTATTTTTTTTTGTAACCGAAGTAAAGCTTGTTATTTTTAAAAACAAGAAAGTGTTTAAAATGAATGAATTTAGAATATTAGAGGGTAATTTTCTTATTTTCTCTAGTTTCTCCAAACATCTACGGTGGTAAGCGATTTTATCAATATAATGAAGACGACTTTCGATTTTATTTTTGATTTATATAAAGCTTTTAAATAGCATGAATACACAAAAACATCGAAACATAGAGAAGCTGTCAATTAAGAATAAGCTTTTCTTTAATTGCTTGTAAACTTGTAATTCGAAAAAAGCTTTTTAACAATTAAAGCTTAAATAAAAAAGTCGTCTTCATTATATTGCTACAATCGCCTACTACCGTATTGTATTTAAAAAAGAAATAATGTACAGTGGTCGGCTTTTATATCAAAACAATGAAGACGGCTTTTTTATTTATGGTTTTTATTTCTAACAAGCTTTTTTCGAATAACAAGTTTACAAGTAAAAAAGATAAGCAGATTAATTTTGTTTCTATATTTATACTTAGAAATCAAAAATTGTCTCTTTTGTATCGATATATACGACTGTAAGCTAAAGAATTATTCATAAGATGTTAGATATTTACATTTACTGTCCCTTTAAACTGTTTAATTATAGGTATTCTATGGCCGTTAGAAGGAATGCCTGATGCTCTACGTCAGATCTCTCTGTTTCTACCTAATACCTATCCTTGTCAGGCCATGAGGGATATTATGTTGCGAGGTTGGGATATAGAGAGGGAAGCAGTTTATATGGGGGTAGGTTTTTCTTCATTTAGAATACCCTGCAATAGTTCATTCACCCCATATTGTGTACTGTCCACTGTGCACCATTTCAACGCCATTTTAGACATCAAAAGCAGTCGATATTTTTTAATGTATTTATTTTGATTTATCTTACTATCGAAGAAACATTGATTGTTTCATAATTTGAAAGGAAGACGACAGTTGCGAGTAGAACCCTTTTTTGCGTTATCCCCTTGAAAATACATTTTAGAATTAAATGCGTATTTATTTTTGCAAACTGATTATTATAATTGTTTTTTTCTTTATTTCTAAAATTGCGTTTAAATCTTGATAGAGGGTAGTGAACCGTCGCACAGAGGGGAACTGATGCACCGTGAAACACTACAGAGTCTAAAATGTGTAAATTTCAAGATCCGGATTCAGGAGGATTACTGTGGACGTATCCACCTTATTCTGCTTTGTAGAAGACAACATTCATAACCTTATTTGATTTTTTTCGTTTCCTTCCTTTCCTTAAACACGATTCTGTTTTGTGAAATACAACATTATTAAACCTCTCTTGATTTTCTCTCTTAAAATCTTCTTTTGCTTATTCTGTTGTTTAGAAGACTACATTAGTAAACCACTTTTGGCTTTATTACATTTATCTTTTTATTCGTTCCTAACTCTTATTCTATTTTTTAAAAGAGAACATAAAAACTTCTTAGTTTGCTTTAAAAAATCTCACAATCAAAATTTTGTTTACTCCAACCTTTACTTCATCTGTTCCCTACAATCCTTTCTACACAAAATGTTATTCATATTTTAATTCTAATCCTTTCTATGGTTACTATAAAGCGAAAAAATGTTCCGAATATTGCATCTTTTTCTTTACCCTTTCGCTTTCTATCTTTTCCTTTTCTTTTGTTAGTTTGTGGTTGTTATTCGAAATTCTACATTCAATTCTTCCAAATAGATCCAATAAACGTAAACAAAGGATTATTGGAATTTTTAATTTACAAATCTTTGCTCCGTAACCCCGTTTATTTCCAATAAAAAACTTAAATATCCCCTTTTTTATAAACATTTTTTTGGAGATCCTGGGTTATCTTCCTTTTTACGAACTGAGATGAAAGTGTACAATTAACATTTTACAGTATTTTGTGAACAATTATTCAGGTTTATCAGATTCGGATTTTGCTTTGATGACGTCATATTTTTCGGACAACCCTATTTTGTAAAGTGTACTGCATATAGTCGGACAAATGTCTCGGCTGGTCAATGGACTGGGGGAGGGGATGTTAATGGAGTGTTAAAGGGGAGGTGGGTCTGGGTAAGATAAGCCAAGGTTCAATATTCATGTACTAATTTATTATTTCTATTAACGAAGTGTCACGGTTAGTTCTAGAAAAAGCATTATTATAAATCACATAGCGGATAAATATATGCAAAACAGGATATGATTTGCATGTTATTAATACAGGGTGTGTCCCTAAATAAGAGATAATAGTAAGGGTACCTTCTTGTTAATTTTATCAAAAATGTCCTTTATTGTTTACAATACGTAATATTTCGCAGCTTTTAGCTCTTAAAAACTAAAATCGTACTGTTCTAAGTTGCATATATTCTTGTGATTTTAACTTTTATGCTATGCATATTGCAATGCATATTGCATGCATCCTCTGCAGCGCCCAGCGGTATTTAAACATGCATATATTTTCTTATGCGAGTCTATGCGTCTATGTCATCATGCAAGCATCCTATGCAGACGTATTTAAACTTGTATTTATTTTCTTGTATATGTCTATGCTATGCATGCATCCTATATGCTGGCATATTTAATCTTGTATTTATTTCCTTGTATATGTCTATACTGTGCAAGCATCCTATGCAGACATATTTAAACTTGTATTTATTTTCTTGTATATGTCTATACTGTGCAAGCATCCTATGCAGACATATTTAAACTTGTATTTATTTTCTTGTATATGTCTATGCAATAATATGCGTGCGTCCTATGCAGACATATGGTGGTACGGTTTGATGAGAGCTTAACCCTGACTCCCATGGGATGATGGTTGACCATTTTATTTATTTATTTATTTATTTTACACTTGTAAATATTTTCTTGTATAAGTCTATTCTATGCATGCTCAGGTTTTTCAATTTTTGTGGCTATAAAGGAATATTTTAAAACTTTATTTGGTATTATTTTTACTTTTATCCTTAAATATTCTTTTTAACAACTATTTTTAAATCTAAAAAAGTTTTAAAATAGATCAGTGAATTTATTCTCTGACTGTTGTATCTTCTAAACAGCTGACAATACATCTGTTTTCTGTTCCTCTCTTGTTGTAGACAAGGGAAAATGTATTTTTACACATATTTCTGATTTTTTTGCACCAAATTTGAGTACATTACCTAGAGCTGAAACTATCTTCTTTGCAATTTTCTTTTTCATAATAATCTGTAATGTCATATTTAGGCGCCATAAATATGAAATTAAGCATTATAGAAAGTTACTGTTTGTGTTCCATGCAGAGATGTCAAATTTCTCTGATGAGATATATTGTGGAATGTGTGCGGATTGATAAAGTAGCTTTTGATCCAGACTGTTCATATTTATTATATGTATTCTGACAGGTTGGAAAAAAAAGTAAGTCACTGTTGAGCAGGGTTTGGAAATGTTCAGTATCCATTGTCAGAATTGAAAAATGGGGTATGAAAGGTTAGGCAAGTAGTGGATATTATCGCCAAACGATCTACAGATTCTTGTAAGATCATCTCAGACAGATAATGTAACTTGATCTTGATGCTTACACTTTGGATTCAATCCAAAGAACTTTTTCTTTCCTTTTCTGTGCAGGGGTATATACATCCCTATCTAAAATTTGTTTAGTTTGCCATTTTCTCTCTCTCACCCTGCACCTAGTTGTTCCTCTAAAAGCTGAATGTACACTATTCACCAAATATTCCTTAGTTCCTTAAGATCAATTGACCTTATTAAAGGAACTGTAAGGAGCGAAGATGTAAATGCTCGATGGTACCCTTGAAATCTTTATCTGATAAATGATGTGGAAGATAATGTTATTTTTCCAGTGTCCTATATGTAGTAGAAATGCCCAAGTAAATTTTGCTGAGAAAGAAATGGTTTTTTAATTCATGTTTGATCAGAGTAAAGTTTTTAAGGGTACACTGTGAATTAGGCAATGTCGTCTTTGCACAGAGGGTCACTTGAACTTGCATGTACTTTAAAGAACATAAACAATATGTATAGTTTGATGTTTAGGTAGTTGTTTCTCTGGTCTGGATATTCATATTCCTCAGTCTGAGCTGGGTAGCAGTCAGGGTTAGATTATAGGACATAAATCTACCTTCAAATCTTCTATCAAAATCTACCTGCTATCAAATCTTCTATCAAAGTCTACCTGCTATCAAATCTTCTAACAAAGTCTACCTGCTATTTAATCTTCTAACGAAGTCTACCTGCCATCAAATCTACTAAAGAAGTCAACCCTGAAAGGATATTGTAGAACTAAATCAACCCGGTATATTTAGTGAAAAAAGTTGATTTAATCCACTAAAAATTAAGTGTTTTAGTTGAAGTATGGAAAAAATGCCGAGATTCTTGTCTGAGTTTTACAATATACAAAAAATAAAAAGTTTAAAAGTTAAAGTTTAATTTATTTTACCTTGTGACCCAACATGTGTACAGGCCAGAGGCATTGACGTTCACAAATCAATCCAAGAAAGAATGAGAGGGTGCTCAAACAAAATATACTATTAAATCTATTAAATTCAGAATTGTTCTGTGAGGGTGTTTAAAGAATTTATCTTTTCGCCACCAATGAATTTCTAATGTAAAAAGTATTTTTCAACTTTTTAGTAGTTTTTGTTAATCGTAATTTTAAATTATGTTTTAAATACCAAAAATCAGGTCTTCCTAAAAACCATGGTAAAAAATTATCACAATTTACAAAATTGGAACTGGGTATTGTAAATCACGCGATACAAAGTGGCCAGTCGAATTCAATTCCCAACTTTCGACTTCCTTCAATTTTATTTAAAATAAGTGCGTAAAAAATACTCTCAAGTCTGATGTGATATTGATTTTTGTGTGGTGTTAAGCTTCAGCCACACTAAAATAATTCAAAGTCTCATTTTCAGTTTGTAGCATTTCTTTTTAGATTTTTTGCAAATAAACCCATTCATTTCACATGCAAATGGAAAATTATTCATTACTTATAGATTTATTATTTGTTATTTATAAATAACATTGAAACATTGCAAACATGATTTTTTACCATTTCACAGTTAATAATTCATAATTCACTCTTTATTTGGTAATTTTAATATTCGGCTAACTTAATTCTTGTTAAAAGCTGAACCAGTTAATCTTAATGTTTTTATCTTAATAACTTTAAATGTATGAATGTCGTAGTTAATCAATTTCATTAAATGTATTTTACGCTCAACCAATATATTTATGTTTTGTAACTGTTTTATTTCAACTTATTTGCTAAATAAATCTAAATTAAATTTAAGTTTAGATTCTTTCCTCGACTAAAACTGGGGATATAATTCTCTAGTTTTCAGTTTGGTCGCATTGCGCCAGTAATAATATTATGGTATAAGGGGTTTGAAATTTAGCGAAATCTTGCTTAAATCATTCTACAGAATCAAAATAGTATGCCACTTGGAATTCTAAAGCATCTATATAAATTATATTTTTCATAAGAATCAAATATGTCGCATGCATGTGTCTCAAATGGGGTTCAATGATTAAATTTAAAATCATTAGTGTTAGTGAAAATGAAAAATGTGAAAACCTTAAAAATATGGGTATCCATTTAATTGGCTTGAAAACCGGAGTTGAATAAACTATTTACAGAATTGAAAAATATTGAAGTTATGGTCAAAAAAAAAATATCAAAATAAATTGATTAGTAAATGTTTTTTTAACGTATACTTGGTCAAATTTTAATAATTTTCATTTCTGTAAATTGATTTGAATTGGTCAAATTTTAATTATTTTCAATTCTGTAAATTGATTTGAATTGGTCAAATTTTAATTATTTTCAATTCTGTAAATAAATACGTAAAAAAAGGATTTAGCTTTTTATTTTACGTATTTTTACGAATTTTTTTAGGTTTTTTCTTTACTTAAAAAATTGTATATTTTAGAGTTTATATATACCCCATAATACGTAAAATAAAAACCTAACACTTTAAAACATTTCTTGGTATGAAATTTACGAAATTATACGTGTTTTTAGGTTTGCATCAAACTTTTAAAACTCTAAAAAAATATAATTTTTTAAGTAAAGGAAAAACCTAAAAAATGCGTAAAATAAAACGCTTAAAACTTTGAAAAATTTCTCGGTATGAAATTTACGGAAATTTGCATTAAACTTTTAAACTCGGAAAAATAGAATTTTTTACTGAAGAAAAAAAACCTAAAAATGCGTGAAAATACGTAAAATAAAAACCTAAAAATTAGTTGGTAAAAAGTATACGTATTTTTTGTATGAATACGTTTCTAGAAAACCAAAGCTTTAAAAAAATTGCTTGTGGCCTTTGGTATGATAAATATGTAAATATAAGTAAGTTCTTTACCCAAAAGTTGAGCATACGTATGTAAAAATACCTATTAATACGTATACCTTTAGAGACTTTGGTATTTTTAGGTTTGCGGGTTAGTAGGGCTATTTGTAGTTCTGATCCGATCATAACGCATGAACCCCTTGACCTATTTGCCTTAAATTGTGATAATGGATTTTGGGAGAACCATTGGAATGTTCTTAGCCTTTTGAAAGTTGAGTGGATCAAAGGTATTTTTAGCAAGGATTTAGTTAACTGGTTAAATCGACCAAGTGCGGGTAAATGGCTATTAGTATTGAGTATCCTGGGCAACGCTGGGTTCTCAAGTTATTACATTTTAAATTTCATTTTAAAACTATTTTAGTGTGCCAAGTAGGGTTTCCAACCAGAATTCCGTTGCGCAGAATTGCACGCAAAGATTTCTTTCGCTTGTGCCATTTCATTGCGCGGAATTCCGAACAAGAAGCAATTAAATATTCGCAGAATCGCTTTTCCATCTAAAAATTAATTAATTAACTGTGTTTATGGCTTACAAATTTATGCAGCAGAGACAAACTTGGAAATATCTCTGTAGCTTTTAAAAATTACTTGTTTCAACGGTTTTCAAATTTTAAAGTTTATTGTGGTTAAGATACTAAATAGTAATTTAATTTGATACATTTTTCATTGTTCGTTGGATGAACATTAAAATGGAAACTTGTTTGGTTGAAAGAAAAGAAGTTAATAGTTAATAGCAATCATGCATATAAGGAAACATAAAAATCCAATAAATTCTGCAAAGTCGTCTCTGAAGTCTCATCATTTGTCGGTAACCATGTATATAAAAAATATATAACAAAATGCGCCCTCTTTTACCTTTCTGAAAAACGAACCGATCGGTTTGTTAACAACATAGAAAACAAAACATTTTTTTGTGGATGTAAAAACCAAATATCTTTTGTTGGAGACCAAAAAGCGGAGCATGGAGACGGAATGGCGGAGCATGGAGACAGAATGGCGGAGACTTGAAGAGGTAGGAAGAGGCGCGGAGACAATTTTCCAGGACTTATAAATGGCAGTCTGTGTTTCAGGAAACTCCGTAGGTTATTTCGCTGGGCTTAAATGGCGGCCATGCACCCCTCCCTCATGAGACATGATTAAATATATCAAGTACAAAGACGATCCTGAGGTCTTCACGGTGTCGCAATTAACATGGGAATTGAGATTCGACATGAACATTTTTTTTGGATGAATGACATTAAGTGCATCAAAAAAGATTTTTTAAAGCTCATTAAACTTTTAAGTCCAACAAGCTTTTCAAAATGTGGTCTACCAATTCTTTGTATTTTTAAAAATGATGGCCGATATTAAACATTTGAGCAGTTTGTTGATTTTTAATAAATTGGAATCTGGACAAATTTGCGCCAATTTTAAAGGTAAAAAATTGGTAACACACATTTTTGAAATCCCAAGACTGGTAGTTTTCGGTTTTTACTGTGATACAATAAAACCCTTAATAACGAATACATCGGAAGAATTTATCAAATGTCGTCTTGACAATTTTTTAATGAGTTTTATACTATATTACGTAAATTTCAGTATTTGCGAAAATAAATAAATAGCCATGAATTTGCGGGAACAGTTTTAAAGAGTTCCATATTATCATTTAATTAAAAAACTAAATATCTGCAACATTCCATTATCAAAAAGTGAAGAATGCGACATTTTATGAATTCTTTCGATGTATTCGTTATTTAGGGTTTCACTGTATTAAATTATTTTTACGAAATAATATCGCCTGGAACAAAGACAATATAGAAGTTTTCTTTTAATTCCGATATGTTTATTGCAGGACACCCTGCAGCATTATAACTAAATTAATTAAGCCCTGTTTGTATTGTTGTACACTGCACAACCTTGTATTTAAATTAAACAAAAAACAAAAAATTTTTAATATCTTTGTTTATTCTTTTCTAGAGATAACCCTGTCCTGTGTTAGTTAATATAGTTATAAAGAGTACGGACTGAGATCTTAGGGAACACTGCTTTTACAAGATTTATTTATAACATTTGATTTATAATTATGCTTTTATCACGTTATGTTGAGAACATGAAAATGCTAGCCTTAGAGGGCGCTTCGCGCCTATCTTCTAAATTAATTGTGAACATGGGCTCTTTGTGTACATCGTAAAACAAAACAAAATTAATTCGGGGATTTTCAAAATTTTCAAAAATTTTATAAGATAGAATTTTGATGGAGACAAATATTTGAAATTTTGATCATTCATAAACCTTCCCGGTGGTCACGTGATGTCCAACAAAAAATTTGGGCCCGATCAGTTCAGCCGTTTTGACGTTTATTGGATACAAACAAACAAACACCCAAACAGACAGACAAGCCAAATTTATATACAGATGTGCCCTTGATATTTTTATTTTCTACAACTCCAGCAATCAAAAAACAATGTTGATACATTTTATTTTAAAAACACAGGCTTTTTCGTTATTTAAAGCTTAGTTAGTTGCAAAATTCTCTTTTTTCTAAGCTATATCTATAATAAAAAATTGTAAATGTAAAAACTATGTTTATTTTATCAGAATTTTCATTAGTTCTCTTTAAAATAGTAATAAACCAAAAGTAGATATTCTTAAACATACCGATGTGAGACCTTTCAGAAAGTAGGAAAGATTCTGCAAAAAGGTTGCCAAACCAAACAGAATTTTTATTTTGTACCCAGTAAACTATTTAATCATGTTGAAATTTTTCGAAAAAAGGTTTTTGGTGAATGTAAAAGCCAAATATTTTTTATTGGAGACCAAAATGCGGGGCGTGGAGACAGAATGGCGGAGGCTCGGAGATGTAGCGAAAGGCACAGAGTCGGTTTCACGGCGCCTGGAGGTCATTCTGCAAATCTGGCGGCTCGGATGTCATTTTTACGGGGCTCATGGCGCCTCTATACCCCCTCCCACTTTAAACATCTGTATCTACAGGGTGTCCCACATCATATTAGACCGAGAACGGGTCTAAATTACGATTTTCGGGACTAATTAGAAAATTTCATTAGAATGAATCATTTTGAAAAATAACATGAGTCTTATATAAGACTTTTTCTGTGGAAAATGATAAGTTTTTCGAGTATTAAGGGTTTATTTTGGTGTTAAAGATTGGAGGCAATCTAATATGATATGGGACGCTCTGTAATATATATAAGTTTTTTACTTGTTGAGTTTCATTTACATTTTTCTTGCCCCCCCCCCCCCCTGCTATATGTCTAGTTGTTCGCCTGGCTTGATCTCCATCTTTTGTTGATCTGAAGATTAATTAAATCTTAATTCGATATCCCACATGATCACATGATAATTTGTAATCGTACTTAAAGAAAGCTAAATTAACTAAATTAAAAATATGGAAAGGTTTAGTTTTTAAAGATCCTTAAAGTAAAAGTGCCCGTAGCAAACAAATTTCACTAGAAGTGGATCATTCCTTAGGCGTACTATCCCATTTGTCCTTATATAGTCTGTACTCTGTACATGTACTGTATAGCTTGCTCTAGCTGATTTAAGTCGGTCATGGTACTTGAAATGAACCGGAGATTACAGTGGCAGTGGGTATTGAGCTCAAACGATCGGGATTATGAGTGCTCAACACAAGAGTTTCCAGTTCTTGTTATTTACCAAGTTTTGCTGAACCCTATTAATACATACGTAAATATAACTTCAAGATAAGGCGAATTTAAGATAGTTCTCCACCTGCAGTGACGGGAGGTAGGTCAGATTTATTATTTAAAGGGACTCGTTCATTATATTTTTAGTGACCCACAATTTCATGAATTACACATGTCTGATTCACAATGAAATCGTTTTAACTTTTGTCTGGGTAACAATGAGGAAATTTATCTACAAAGTTTGATATTTTTCAATTTGTCGTTTCAGTAGACAAGTGGCTAGAAGATTTGTATTATCGATCTATATTTATATTCAAAGAAAGGTTTAAAGGATACCCTTATGAATCCGGCATGGACATTTTTAAATGGAGTGTTACATGAAACAACGTATTCAATCCATTTAAGATTTAGAGACACATTTTAAAAATTGATTAAACTTCGGATATAAAACTATCATTTTATTACACAAAGGATGTATTTTGCGGCATATCATAGTTGGAGTCCAAATAACTAATTCTTAAAACAAATTGAGAAACTTAAGCCTTAAGATTTATTGGAACAAAGGAACTTTAGATCATTCTAGAAAATAAACAATTGATCAAGGAACTGTAGAATTATTTTAACTCTCAGGAACGTGAAGATGCATTTAAGGAGAACAGCCGCAAGGCCTGATGTCCAATCCAATTCAGCTCCTCAGGGATTAAATAAATAAACATTAAGTAGAAATCTAGTCCGAGCCCTCCTCAAAAATAACCGTAAAAGGACGGAAATTTATGATAAATTCAACACTTGTTGGGCAAAGTTCCGTTAAAAATTTCAAAAATTTCAAAAATTAACGGAAGAGTCCGTAACGAATTTTTAAATTGTTAACGAAACAAAAATTAACGGTTAAAAAAGTTAACTAAAAAGCTAAAAAAGGCAAATTTCGTTATTTTCCAAATTAAATTGCATGAAATAAATTTTTTTTTTGTACATTTCAGATTGTTGAAAATTTTCCATGAACGCTGTTAATAAAATTGAGATCTAATATTAGCTAACGGTAATTAAAAAAAAACGGAAAATGCCGTTAATGGAAAGAACGTCCCGTTCTTACCTTTGAAATTAACGGCCAACTGAAATTTTATCTTTTAACAGTTGGAACTAACCGTTAACAAAACGGCAAACGGCTATAAAAATTTGGAACGTGCCCCGCCTTACTTGATCTTGTCACTCTAATCACTAATGTCCAAAGATTTTAAAATACAAATATATCAGTCAGCACAACCAAAAACTGTATGTACTGTACTATACTAAACTTTTCTTTGCTCTTCATAAACATGCTCCACTGAAATTAATTTACTGTACTGTACTGTACTGTACTGTACTGTACTGTACTGTACTGTACTGTACTGTACTGTACTGTACTGTACTGCACTGCACTGCACTGCACTGCATGTACTGTACTGTACTGTACTGTACTGTACTGTACTGTACCATACTGTACTGTACTGTACTGTACTGTACTGTACTGCACTGCACTGCACTGCACTGCACTGCACTGCACTGCACTGCACTGCACTGCACTGAACTGTGATATACTATATAAATGATATTTATTCACTGGTGTCGAAGGTCGAGAAAGTAAATATGTCGATAAGTACTCCTAGTACTACAAGTACTCCTAGTACTACAAGTACTTCTAGTACTCCAAAGACTGGACTCATTTCGGAAATATCTTTTCTTCTGAATGGAGTAAAATGCACTGTTTCAGGTATAGAATGTCTAGATATCTATATTTTATCAATATTTAGAACTGTATAAAACAATAAATTGAAATCAATTTTGCATATTATACAACAAATCTTAGATTATACTTAATTATACATTCTATAATTATTGTAACTAATTTTATATTCATTATCATCATTATTGTTATTATTATTAGTATTAGCAGTATTTGTAATATTGTTATCATTATTATTGTTATTCTTGCCTTTCTTGTTTCTTAATACTTTTTAATTTTTTTATTTCTTAAGATAACAGTAAGAACCAAAGAACTATGGAATAAAAGGGCGGCATTGAAGTAATCTTTAAGTGTAATGGATGTTGTCACAACTAGTTTACTTATTAAATATCTCATTTAGTAAAATGGGTCTGTTCTGAACATTGCATAATAACTGCTTTGACTCATGTTATTCGGACAATTTTATTCTCAAATTCGTCTTCCTATTTCATAGTTCTGTTCCATAAAATAAAGAATAAAAAGACTGAAACTATTTAAGCTGGAGAACAAGGTCCTTCAGTAACCCTGGCTAAATATATAAGAGAGGTTGCGCTACTCACGGGAACAAAGGTAGACCACGCCAAACTAATCAAATTTTAGTATGTTCGTGTACAACTTAAACTCGAAACAAACTTGATCTAAGCATGCCTTGGTTGTATCAGCATGTATGCCAAACTTTCTAGATCTCTGTATGTCCTGGCTATATCGGAAAACATGCTGTTTAGGCATATCAAATATGAAAAGATACATGATATATTTGATATGCTGTTTAGGCATATCAAATATGAAAAGATACATAATATTTGATATGCTGTTTAGTCATATCAATTATGAAAAGATACAGGATATTTGATATGTTGTTCAGGCATTTCAATAATAGATATATGATATTTGATATGGTGTTTGGGCTATCATATATGAAATGATACAGGATATATCTTTGTGTTTTTTTGGCATACCAAATATGAATGAAACGTTGTTTAGGCATATCAAATATGAAATGATATGTTGTTTCGGCATATCAAAAATGAAATGATAGAGAATATATATATTGTTGATAGGTATCTTGTAATGAGGGAGGGTGTGGTGCCTGCATAGTTACAGTTAAAAAGCATGACCAAGATACACCAAGATCTCTGAACTCAGTGAGTGAAATTATCAAAATTAATTTAAAGAAAAACAATTTTAAAAGAACGTAATTGCAAGTGTGCCTCCATTCTTCAAATTACATGATCAAATCACAGCCTTTTCGAGAGGAAGTGCTGCGAAATATAAAAGAGAGTTTAAAATGAACAATGTTGAATCTGTTAAAATATGAACATTTGAACAATGAGCAGTTTTTGACATGATATAGTAACAAAAAAAATCTATTTTTAAAATGTATTTTTTTGTTAATGTGTCTACATATCATCTTTTTAATGTCTCAAAATTTTAAAAAAAACGCTTATTTCGCAGCAAAAGTTTAATAACTGACAATTAAGCGATTTTTGGTTGGATATAAGTGATTTTTTGTTGCTTATTTGGCAGCCATCTAAATGTTGCTGCCGAATAAAAAAAATTTGATTTTGAAATTTAGTAATAATAATAACACCCTATCTGTACAGAGAAAGAGGAAGTTTTTTATTAGTATCGTTTTTTTAGTGTTTGACTCCAGTGTTGTCCTGTGATGGTTGGGCAATTACAACTGTAGAAGGACTCGGAGATAAGTCTAATGGATATCATCCTATACAAGTAAAACTTTAATTTTATGGACCCTAATTATGTAAACGAAAAAGACAAAAAAAAATTGTTTTGATACCTGTTTTAACATCAGAACTGTAGCAAGAAAGAATTAAGCTCACTCCTAAGTTAGTTTTACCTGACAGAGAGTTTAACTCGAGTCCTTTCTTTTATCCTTATGTCATTGGGCAAAGTTCAAAGATTGGACCATTGAGAGGTCAGAATTCCTTACATTTGAGCAACAAGAGAATTAAACTTCCTAAATAGAAACTTATCTACTTTTTTCATAAACGTTCAGTCCAAGTTGGCAGCTGAAGGTGGAAGTCAATGTGGGTATTGCTCCCCTGGAATGGTGATGCAAATGCATGCCTGGATTTCAGAACATCCAAACCCAACCAAACTGGAGATAGATAACATTCTAGACGGAAATATCTGTAGGTAAATTGAAACATTTTATTGTAATTTAGAAAGTATCATTACAAATTTAACCAAAGATTTTAATTTACTTTCTTTATATTCATTTTTAGAATGAGTGTTTAGTAAATATTTTGTCCTTTAGTGGTCCATTGAGTTTGCATTATTTGATCATTTATCATAATTGCAGGTGTACCGGGTACAGGCCAATACTTGATGCCTTTAAGTCCTTTGCAGACAATGTAACAGATATTGAAGAATTGAAAATCTGCAAGAATACTGGGAAAGCTTGTCCAGGAATGGGATCTTGTGGGACAATTACTCCATCCTGTCATGGCAAATCAAAACTGAATGAATCTTTTGAGTGGTACACCCCAACTAAAGTATCGGAACTGCTTGAAATTATCAAGGGTTTGCCCCAGAATGCAAAATACAGGTACATACCATATTGAACATTTTGTCTTTCTTTGAACTATGTTACAAAGGTTTATATTCTAGAATTGTTTCTGGAAATACTGGAACTGGTGTTTTCAAAAATGATGGACCCTACACTGTCTTCATAGATGTTAACAAGATTGCAGAGCTTCATGAAACAAGCTTGGATGCTGAGGTAGTTCTTGGGGCTAACGTAAAGATCACTGATGCCATCAATCTTCTTGCTACCACCAATAATGAAGTTTGGCAAGGAGTGGCAAGCCATCTGAAGAAGATTGCTAGTTATGGTATAAGGAACCAAGGATCTCTGGCAGGAAACCTTATGATGAAGAATGCTCATAATGATTTTCCGTCAGATGTCTTCCTTTCTTTAGAAACATCAGGAGCTATGCTAGAAATTGTGAATTCAGATGGCCAACTAACATCAATTGCTGTTGGAGAATTACCAATGTTTGAAATGACTAATAAGGTTTTGGTGAGAATTAGAATCCCACTTGGGGCAAAATCAAACAAAAAAAATAATTTGAACAAGCTTTGGTTGCAAGCAGAGCCTACCAATAAGAGAGCAGGTCAAGAATGGAAGTATAGGTCATACAAGATAATGCCAAGAAGCTCTAATGCACATGCCTATGTGAATGCTGGATTTTTGGCTCTTGTTGATACTTCTGACAACTTTAAAATCATTTCCAAGCCAAGGATAGTTTTCGGAGGGATCAATCCAGGCTTTGTTCATGCCAACGCTACAGAAGAGTTTCTTATTGGAAGAAACATGAATGATCATGACATGTTCATGGAGGCTCTGTCAATCCTTGCTGCAGAACTTGCTCCTGATGATGAACCTGTGCTAGCAAGTGCTCTTTACAGGAAACAGTTAGCCATGGGATTATTCTACAAAGTAAGAATAAACCAAAATATTGAAAACAGAATTACATTTTAATTTTTTTTTAGTTTTACCTCTATGTCTTGGGAAACACTGCATCAGCTGCAGTACAATCTGCAGCTGCAGACCTAGACCGAGGACTGTCTTCCAGTTCTCAGTCTTGGGAAACAGATGAGAGCCAATGGCCAATATCCCAGCCAGTAGAAAAAACAGAGGCTAAGGTTCAGTGCTCTGGAGAAGCTGTTTATGTCAATGATATTACTGCCTCCAATGGAGAAGTACATGCTGCTTTTGTTTTGTCTGGTCATGCAAACTGCACCATAAGTGCTGTAAATGCTGATGCTGCTTTAGTAAGTTTGTTTTATTACTTTACATAAATCTAACGAAGTTCAGATGCATACAATATTTGTTGTCTGTAGGCAATGCCAGGAGTAATTGCCTATCTGGATGCCAATGATATCCCTGGTATCAATGACTGGAAAACAGGTCCAACTCCAGAACCAGTATTTTGTGCAGGAAAAAGTGAGTATGCAGGGCAAGCAGTTGGCCTCATAGTTGCCGAGACAAGAGAAATTGCTGTGGAGGCTGCTAAGAAAGTAGAAATTACCTACGGCAACCTTGGAGAAGTTGTAACTGATACAGAAAAAGCAATGGAAAACTCAGAGAATGTATTAGCATTGGGACCCCCAGTCTCATATGGAGATGTTTCAACTGCAATGGCTGCTGCAGACTCTGTTATATCAGGAAGATTTCGAATGGGATCTCAATATCACTTTCATATGGAAACCCATGTTTGTATTGTGACTCCTACCGAGGATGGATTTGATGTTGAAATACCCTCTCAGGATATCAATCAAACTGCGATAGCTGTTGCAAAAGTAATGAAGACAACAGTAAACAGGTTGGTCAAAATGGTCTGAAAATATTCTTTGAATAAAAATACAAGCTTTTATATTTCAGCATTAATATATCAGTAAAAAGACTTGGAGGAGCATATGGAGGCAAAATCTTTCTACAAAACTCTTGTGCTACTGCTGCAGCAGTTGCAGCTAACAAGCTCAGAAGACCTGTCAGGCTTTGGCTGAACCTGGAGGATAATATGAAGATGCTTGGAAAAAGAAATCCATATGTTTTTGACTATAAGGTCTATCTTTGTAATTTATTTAAGTAAATATCATTCTTTCTTTTTTTGTAGGGTATTTATTGCCTTTAATTTTTAGATTGGATTTGACAGCAGTAGGAAGATAGTTGCAGTTGAAAGTGACATCTACTCTGATGGTGGTTGGAATTTTAATGCTTGTGACAGCCCATTTGCAATTTTCTTTGGTCAAAGTTGCTACCACATTCCTGCTTTGAAGTTCTCAGCATTTGGAGTGAAAACCCATACTCAATCCCACACAGCAATGCGAGCTCCAGCCATGTGCAATGGTCATGCTATGCTTGAACACATGATGGAGCATGCTGCTGCAGAGCTCAATGTTAGTCCACTAGAGTTGAGGATGAACAATGTTATGGTTCAAGGTTCTCCTGTAATACCACCACCAAACACACTAGATGTTCCCTGTCCAATCAAAGACATAGTTGATCAGATTAAGGTCAGCTCTGACTATGATCAAAGAATTCAAGCAGCATCTTCCTTCAATGAGGTAACAGACTTTGACTGTTTCTGATCTTTTCCCCCCCAAAAAAAGTTTTTTTCACTCTTAATTTAGGCAAACAAGTGGAAGAAGAGGGGGATATCAGTTGTTCCTATGAGGTATGGGCATGAAATGAAGGGATGGGGAATCAAGTATCACTGTCTTGTGTCCGTGTTTGCTGATGATGGAACAATTTCTGTTACTCATGGTGGAATAGAAATGGGTCAAGGACTTAATACAAAGGCAAGATAAACTTAAATCTAAAATTGAATTTCAGAAAATGTTTTCACATTTTCTAATACTGACATTACAACATAAACTGAAAACTAAGCCATGTCCTACACAAATCTGAACAAAATCATAGGAAGTTAGGAACTTCAACGATTACAAAGCAATTAGACAGTCAGATGAGACAAATATTTTGATAATGTATTAATTGTAATTATCAAGGTTCACCAAGTGGTTGCAAAAGAGCTTGGTGTTGACATGAGCATCATCAAAATCAAACCTACGATGAATGTTACCAATCCCAATGGTTCCACAACAGGAGGCAGTGTTGGATCTGAGATGAATTGCGCTGTAAGTACAAGATTGTTTTATTTATTATTGAAACTGATCATTTTGACTTTTGATTGTAGGCTGCTATTAATGCTTGTGCTATCCTCAACAACAATTTAGCCCCAGTGAAGGAGAAACTGGGTCTCAATGCATCATGGCAAGAAATAGTTGCTGAAGCTAACAGGAGTAACATTGACCTCTGCGGCAGAGTCATGTAATCATTCTTAATTATTCTTTGTAACCAAAATATTCACAAGTTGGGTCTTAAGAACTTAATATTTTTAATTAAGGTTTTCTCCTGACAATGATGCCAAGGTTAAGGGGTACAGTATCTGGGGTTGTGCTGTTACAGAAGTTGAGGTGGATATTCTTACTGGAGAGATGTTCATTGTCAGAGCAGATATCATTGAAGATGCAGGTCTCTCTACTTCCCCACAGGTAAAATATAGCTTTCTTCAGAGTCAAACCTTAGTGAAACATAAAAAATGTATCTCTGTAATTTACAATATGTATATAATAATGCTTTGTTATGGCATAAATTAGGTAGATATTGGACAAGTAGAGGGAGCATTTTCCATGGGATTGGGCTTGTGGACATCTGAAGAGTTGAAGTTTGATCCTGTGACTGGAGAACTGTTGACCAAGAATACTTGGGTAGGTTTACTAATAGTTATTTAGTATCAATAAACTAAATTTTCTGTATTATCTTTTCAGGAGTACAAGCCCCCAGCAGCTAAGGATATCCCTCAAGACTTTAGAGTAACACTGCTGAAGAATTCTCGAAACCCCCTTGGAATATTATCCTCCAAAGGTATAAGCTGATGTGGGTTTCTTAAAACATTATGCGGAAGTGGGGAAAGAATATTTTTATGGTGATTTTGGCAACAAACTTTAAAACATGATAGGAAACACACACTCAAGAATTCAAGGTTTTATTTACTTTTTGATTTTCATATGAATCATTCCAATCTGGATAAACACAAATTATTTTAGCAACTGGAGAGCCTGCTCTCTTGATGTCAGTGAGTGTTCTGTTTGCAATCAAGGATGCACTAAACCACAGCAGAAAGGAAGCTGGCCTTAGCGGATGGTGGAAGTTGGGTAAACTGTTTTTACAAAAAGTGTTCATCAATGTTAATTTAACCTAACCTTGTCAGAAACACATCTAAAATAGATAACATTGCCTGAAACCTTAATCTCATAACAAAATTCGGAAGATACTGTTGTCTTTCTGATCATTTCTCCATTGCTTCTTGAATGCAAGAAATGTGCAAGTCACTTAAGCAGAGAAACTGCAAATGAAAATAAACTGTTTTAAAAAGAGAAAAAATGAAAATCTAATTCATTATTGATTATTGGCCAGACAAATTTTTTAAGGGTACTATTGTAAATTGGGCATTACCATCTTTGAATGCAGGGTTAATTGAAATTACGCTTACAGTTCCTTTAAATTAGCAACTAGTTAAAAACTAAAGGCAACATGACATACCTGTCTGTATAGCTGCAGCCAATTTAAAGCTATCCCAGGATTTCTCTTTTCAATTAGTACCATAGAAAAATGTACTGATAATGTTTGCTCATGAATACTAATTCAGATGGCCCGGCAACTGTGGAGAAGATACATCAACATGCTGGGGTTAGCCCAGACCAGTTTATATTCTAGGGAACAGTTCTTTGATTTCATCAAGCAGAGGCCAGATTTAATAAATTTCAGCTATAATATAGAGACGGTTCTGTTCCGTATTTAGAATTAGTGATTCAGACGTTGTTAGGGTTTTCAGAGAGCATAACGTTTCGCAAAAATAAATGAAGCAAAATTTCACCAAAATGTTTTTCGTAAAAATATTTTCGCAAAATACGAAAATTGGAAAATGATTTTGTTAAATGCGAAAATTTCTCCAAAATGTGGAAATAATTTCTCTAAATACAAAAATTTTGTGAAAACCATGAGTTTTATAGGTGCAACAATTTATTGCTCAAAAGAACTTGTTGAATTCTCTGCTCTGATAGCTCGATATTTGATTTTTATTATGTCATATAAATAATTTCTCTTCCTTTACTTTTATAAATGTTTCCAACTATTTGGTATTTTTCGCGAAATTTTCGTTTATTATTTAATTTCCATTTTTCGCAAAAATTTGGCATTAAATTTTGCAAAATTTTCACATTTTTTTCGGAAAATTTTGTATTTTCCCATTTTCTAGTTCGTGAAAATTTCGCACTTTTTTTGCGAAACAGATTGAAGCAAAATTTCTTGTGAAAAGCGAAAAATTTCGCATTTTTCCCGAGGAAACGAAACGCGAAAATGATTTTTCCTTTTAGCTAGAAACCCTAGACGTTGTCCATATGCCCAACTGCAGGTCAGCAATACAGAGAAGTTGTTGAATCGGCAGTAGGTATAGTTCAGCGACCTAGCTCAAAATTAGTAATTTATTAAATTCGGTCCCTCACCTAATTTTATCCTGATTGAAGTTGTGATTAGAACAATATTTATTCAAACAATATTCAAGAAATATATATTTAACCATCTTACTTGCATACTGCATTGGCGATGAGTGACTTTAATAACATATGTAATTTGTGATTTCAATATAGTTGTAAAATAGGGGATAGGATAGGATTAACAGGAGGCAAAAATGTTTTTCATAGATCCTCAACAGGGTATCAATTCTTTACCTCAAATGTGTTAGGACTGTTGAATGGTGTTAGGTACTTTCCCAAAGGTCCCGAGTTGCAATTTCCCAATGGTATTTTCCCAAGTGGCAACTCCCCAAATGTTCAATTTCCCAAAAGGCAACTTCCAAACTCTGTCCTAGCCGGAGCACTCGGCCCCTAGCCTTTTCTAGCCGCAGTGTGCTAGGGAGGAGAACAAGTATACAAAAAAGACTATCAAAACAAAGTTAGATTTTGATGAAACTTGAACCAAAGTATTACATATATATAACCTTATACCAATAAACTGTTCGTCATGTTAACATCATGGTTCAGCTTATATAGGATTATATTCAAAAGTGCTGAAAAATATATACTCACACTTTATATGTATGTTACTCCTTTATGTTTCATTTCAATATTTGTCTTCAGACTTCCTGCTCACATTCATTGCAAGTGTAGAGATAAACTCACACTGCTCGCATGGATATCTTTTTCCTTCATGTTTACTTGTGTTCCTTCAGATACCCTGCAGTAGTGGCAGCGTGTTTACACTGCTCACATGAATATCTAGCACTTTCATGATAAGTTTTTAATGGGACTTCAGATTACCTGCGGTAGTGACAGTGTGATCACACTGATCTATGGATATCTCACTCCTTTATGTTTACTGTTGATGTGTTTCTACAGATACCTTGCAGTAATGGCAGAGTGTTCACACTGTTTATTTTCATTGACTGTTGAGACCTCCTAGCCTGCTTGGCAGTGTGATAACTCTGATATATCTGACACCGTCACGCTATTTTTGATGTGTTTCTTCAGATTACCTGCTTGCAGGAATTATTCCATTTTTTCTTTCTTCCTTTTTTTTAACAGATAAGCTAGTTCCACTGGCAAATTTTCACTTTCTGAACTAGGATGTTCTGATGAGGTTAACTTCAATTTAGATCTCCATAATCTCTGCATGTGTTATGTGATCTTTAAATACCTCTTGATTATTTCACTCTTTGGTAGATCCCTGATTATTTACCCTTCTGTGGGTTTCTTTTTTCTTTTCTTCTTCAGGATTTGATCTCTATCTCAATTTTCTCCAGTTTTACAAATGTGAAATGATGATTCTTGACTTTGCCAGGGTTTGATAAGCATTAGCTTTGTTTCATTGATTCCAAGTAATCACAAAACCTCTCTTTGTCTATCTTTCTGACGGTTTGGCTCAAGTAGGCTGCAGGTTTTGCTGAAGTCATAGTGTAAAGGTGGGTGTATGCAGCGCAGGCAGATCTCTTCAATCTCTTCATTCAACCTTGAAAACACATTCACTTTTTCTTGTTTCTTTTTATTTCATTTTCGTTTTTCTTGAGTAAAGGCATGGAACTTGGATGTGATGGATTCGTTTAAATGTATTGATTTCCCTTGGAATGACCGGTTTCAAACTACTCTCACTTTAATTTACTGTGTTTTCTTTAATTCTTTATTCAGATGATGTTACTTTTTGTAGGAGAGTTTGGATGTTTAACTGAAATAGATTGAAGTATTATAGCAACAATATAACATTGATAAGAACAATTTTTATAATGATTTCATATAATTACTTACACGAATGTCATCTATTAAGAAAGAAATCAAAGTAAGTTTACATCAGCGTCCATGGTTGGTTTAAGCCTTACTGAAGCTATACTCAAGATCCAGGCATACATACGTGCGTGCTCGCAGCAATTGTACATATTATATATAGTAAAATGGGAATAGATCAAATGCCTAATTTCAAAACAACCAAATTTATTTACAACATAATCACATTTCCCACAAGGATTCATTTTTCAATTGATTTTAGATCTACTTTTGTAGTCAGTCCTAGAAATAATTTTCATCATCGGCTTGTAGACAGGTGAATGCTATACATTACATCTTAGCTCTAATTTGAATCAAGAAACTAGTAAGTTTAGGATCAAAAGACTCAGGCAGAGAAACTTTTTCAACAGCTTCAGTTCAAAAGTAGTTAAAATGGTCATCCTAGGTTGATGCAGCGTTAGAAAGAGAAATAGGATTATTTGATGTTTATACAATTGCCAACAAGATGGAAATAAAATAAAATGAAGATAAGAGTTAAACACCAAAAAAATCCAAATAGAGCTTTTCCAAAAACAAATATTTCTATGTATCCTGCAAGACTGTCACCACCGGAGCAACACAACTAAACATCCTATAGTCAATCATTTGCTTTGCATTTTAAATCCGGATAAATTTCAGAAATTTTGAAATTATTTTCATCAAAAAAAAAACCCTTTCCATTTTTCCTCTCTGATTACTCAATTTTGGGTCTCTTAAGTTCAGAGAAAAGAGGATCTTCTTCGCTCTTGAAAAGTTGAAGAGAAATAATAACACAACAATCTCAAGTATCTTAAATTAATTAATTAAATTTAAAATTTGTTTTGTGAAAAAAACAAATTTGCTGATTATAGGCTTGAAGTCTTTAATAACATTTCTTTCGCTATTTTCCCAAAGAAATAATTCTTTAGAGGATAGATTTAAAAAGAAAATTTCATTAATTTACATTTAAAAAAGAAATTCATTGTATAAAGATAAAGGTGTTAACTGCTTATTCGTGGGTCGCTAATACAGTATTCATACAAGATGCAGTTTACATTAATAAAAATAATAACATATGCATTATGGAGTTTACTGCATACTGCATTCCAATAATCCAACGAGATGTATTAATTTTCTGATTTAATCTATTTTTATTCTAAATTGATATTGAAAAGTACCGTGGATTTGCATGACATGATAATCATCTATGTAATAAAACAAGACATTTATATATATGTTCCCAATATCCGGCCAAACGGCTGGACCGAATGGGCTGATTTTTTTTAGTAAACTCATGGGTAGTCTTGGGGTGATAAAGGCTAAAAAATTCAAAGTCTTTGTTTTTTTTCAATTTTTTTTTCAAAATTCCACGAGCAACGCCGGGCACTTCAGCTAGTAGTTAATAATCATGCTAAATCATTGAAAAATATATCAAATAATCTACTTAACTGTATAAGAAAAAGTATGATTAGTTTATATTTACATTCTAGGTCTATATTTGGCTTGTCTATAATTGATTGTTAGGTTGTTTGTATAAATAAACATAATAAACATATTACTTTCTCTCAAAAAATTTTTACAGTACTGCGCAACAATGTACTTTCGTAAATAGTAACTCTTTGAAGAAATAGGGATTAATGAATTTAATCTTCATAATTTCACAGAACATTTGTCATCCACATGTTTCCTCTCATGAAACGTCTTTTCAGGTGGCATGCCTTAGATGCAACATATTCACACTCAGTACAAGGATGTTTCACGCCTTCATGAATATTGAATACTCTCTATGCGTGTTCTTAGATCTCCTTTATGAGTTGCAACACAGTCACACTTAGAACATGGATATTTTACTCCTACATCTACTTCTAATATAAACCTTCAACATATTTGCGAGAGTCGCAACATAATCACATTGCTGACCAGGATATATTACTTGTTTGTGTTTACTTTCTATGTGAAACTTCAGGTTATTTGCTGTAGTAGCAGTATAATCACATTCAGAACAAGGATATCTCACTCCTTCATGTTTACGTTTAACAAGTCGCCAAAGATTACTGTTGTTGCAATATACTCACAATCAGAGCATGGATATCTAACTCCTTCGTGCTTATCTTTAATTTGTGATTTCGGATCTCCTTTCTGAGATGCAGTTACTGACATTGAGAACATGGATATCTAACTCCTTCATGTTTATTTCTGACATGAAAAATCAGTGCATCTGCTTGTATTGCAAAATATTCACATTTAGAACAAGGATATTTGATTCCTTAATGTTTACTTTTTACATGATACCTGAGAGAACTAGCCATGGTTGTAGAAAACTCACACGCAGAGCATTGATGTCTTACTCCGCGGTGAACACTATCGGCGTGAATCTTCAAGTAATTTCCTCGACTTGCAACATACTCAAACTTATTACAAAGATGTCTTCCTTTACTTGTCTTCATTCTCTTTGGTTCAGATTGTTAAGGATCAAATCCATGATCCAATTTTTCTCCTGAATAGTTAAAGATTAAATATTATTTACTTAATTTAAATAACAAATTTGACTTGTCCTAAACCCTAGACTTTATATATTAAACTGCAATACTTAGTCTGTGTAGTTTATTTTTGGTTTGTCTGTATGTCTGTTTGTATCCGATAAATGCCCAACGGCCAAGCCAATTAGACCAAAATATTTTGTTTTACCTCACATTAACTCATGTTATACTGTTGTACCTCACATGAAATAACATGCTTTCCTCTAAGTTAGAAGTTGGACAAACTTCTACTCCTTTTATTTCTGTCTGTTCCATAATTGCTTCTACTCTTCAGTTTCCATCTGAAATATACGAATATGTTTATGTAAGATCTTATTTACCGTTTCGCTTAAAAAGTAAGTATCAAAAGATAGTAAAAACTAGGTTTTTTCATCGATGCTGCTGTCAGGGATGTATATTTTTAAGAATTACCCGGGGGGGGGGGATGGAATAATTTTTAAAAATCTGGAGAAAAAAAATGAAAAATTGGACATAAATAGGTAAGAATTTTCCTTCTTTTTTCATACATCTTATCCTAAACTATATTCATTTTCCGCTGAAGATCACTAATTTTCCACAATTCCGCCAATAAAACCCATTTTTTTGTGCTCCACGCAAACATTTAAATCATCAGGAGAAAAAAAAAATGTTCTATAGAAAGGGGCGGGAGGATGATTTTTCAGAAAAATATACACCCTGTGCTGCTTATTCAGATCAATGAAAAAAAATGTTGATAATGTTGAGGAACAAAATGGGAAACTATCCGATTCATATTAAATGCTCTACAGATGTTTAATTTTGGAGTGTCTATTTAAACTTCTGTTTGTAGTTGCGACATAATCACATTTAGAACAAGGATATTTTACTCCTTTATGTTTACTGTCAACATGAACCTTCAGATAACTTGCTGCAGTTGAAGAAAACCCACATTCAGAACAAAGATATTTCACCCCTTCATGGTTACGTTCAACATAAATTTTAAGATCACATTCATTACTTGCAGCATAATCACATTTAGAACAAGGATATTTGACTCCATCATGTTTACGTTTAACGTGCACCTTTAGATGACTTGATGTAGTTCCAATAAACTTACATTTAGAGCAAGGAAATCCCAGACCTTCATGTTTACTTTTAACGTGTTTCTTCAGGGCACCTGATTGAGATGCAGAGAACTCACACTGAGTACATGGATATCTTAATCCATGTTGCTTTAGATTTCCTGCTGTTGTTGAAGTATACTTTCAATGAAAGCACGGATATCTAATACCTCTGTGAATACTTTCAATGTGAACCTTCAAATAGCTTTCTTGAGTGGCTACAAAATCACATTCAGAACATGGATATCTTACTCCAATGTGTACATTTTTAACATGAATCCTCAGATTTCCTGCTGAAGTTGCAGCGTATGCACAAGAAGAGCAAGGAAACCTTATTGCTTCATGCTCATTTTCACCGTGTTGCTTCAAATGAACATTTGAAGTTGCAACATGATCACATTCAGAGCATAGATGTCTAGTTCCTCCATGTTTATTTTTAATGTGTATCTTTAGATGAGCTGCTGATGTTGCGGAATACTTACATTTAGAGCATGGATGTCTTACTCCTTCGTGTTTACTTTCAACATGAATTCTTAGGAAACTTGGTCGAGTTGCAACATACTCACAATCCTTTCTACTTTCTCCTAAATAGTTCTAGATTATTACGATTTGACCTAAAGAAATCCTAAAGCATTAATATTAGGGTTCAAAATTTTATGTTAACTAGCTGAATTGCCCAGCGTGGCCCGTTGAATTTTAGAATAACTTTTTAAAAAATTATTTAAAAATTCTATTTAAAAATATATATATATATTTAGCCTATGATACCCCTCCGGTACCAATGAGTTCCCTTAATATTTTATAGCCCATTTGGTCCAGTCGCTTGGCAAGCTATAGCTTAAAGTTAAAAATACTGGTCAAAAAAAGAGTTCGCGAAACTTTTTTTCTCTCAAAATCAAAAGTTCAGAAAAGCAAAAATGTGGATATATATTATTTCTATCATTAAATCTAGAATTATGTTAAGACTGAATTACAGAATCACAGAGAATTTGCCAAATTGTAATAAGAAAATTCGCAATTTCAAGTTCTCGTCTAATTTTTAAGGAAAAGTTCTTTAAATCCTCTAGTTCCTTTCTTCTTAGTATATTCTAAAATTACAAACATATGTTGTCCAGCTGAAAACTGAGTCATTGAAAAATAACTTTTCTATAAAAATTAGACCAAAACTGAAAATTGCCAATTTTCTTCAGACAATTTGCAAATTTTCTGTTATTCTGTAACTAAATATTTACAAAATTTTAGAATTTGATAGAAATAGTATATATACACATGTTTGCTTTTCGTAACTTTAAATTTTGAGAGAGAAAAGTGTCGCGGATTTTTTTTGGGCCATTGGATTACCAAAAAAATTTCAATTTTGCACCAGACGCCACTAATCGCATTTTTTTACTAACCCTGAGATGGAATTTAAAGAATTTGAGCCGCTGTTTTAATCCACCAAAATCCTCCAAAACCCAGTTTAAATTCAGCGCCGGCTTAAATCTTGAAACATTTGATACAATTTTTATCTTGATGTTCTCTCCCGGTACATAAACTGTACAAGTATCTTCTTAACTGGAACATAAAATAACTTGATCCTTGATGGAACCTGTTTCTTTTTCAATTATTCTAAATGTATTTCATGTTTAAAACTTTCAGAGATTCCATATATTAAATTTATATTAATCCGTGAAAAATATTGATTAGAAATCTAAATTTCGAAAATAATTTAAAGCGTAAAGTTGCAGAAATCAAATTTACATCTTTAAAGCGAATATAAAACAAATAAATTTTTGCACAAAACAATTGTATTTATTTACATAAATTCTACCTTTCATTCCAGCATTTTCCATTTTTACATCTTACTCCTTCATATCCCGAATACACGCTACCACTAAATGAGAGGGTTGACAAATATCTTCTTATTATATCTTTTTTTCTTCCATAATAATTTCTACTTTCCTATCTTAAATCTGAAATATTAAAATATGTTAATTTGATGTAATCTTTATTTTCTCTGATGTTTACGTTGATAGTGTCTTTTCAGACATATTTTTAAAGATGCGACATATGTACACTCGGAACAAGGATATTTCACTCCCTTATGTTTACCATCCACATGGATTTTCAGATAACTTGTTGTAGTTGCAACAAACCCACAATCAGAACAAAGATATCTAACCCCTTCATGCTTAGTTTCAACATGTCTTCTAAGATCGCGTTTAAAATTTGCAGCAAAATTACATTTGGTGCATGGATATTTCACACCTAGTCCTTCATGTTTATTCTTAACGTGCCTTTTAAGATCAGTTGATGTAGTTCCACTAAACTCGCACTGAGAACAAGGAAATCTGACTCCTTCGTGTTTACTTTTAACGTGTATCTTCAGGGCACCTCGTGAAGAGGCAGATAATTCACACTGAGTGCACGGATATTTTACTTTTTCTCTTTCATGTTTATATTTCATATGAGTCTTCAGATTACTCAAGCTAGTTGCAGCATACTCACAATAAGAACAGGGATGTCTTATTCCATCATGTATATTTTCAACATGAACCTTTAAATTGCTAGCTTGAGTGCCAACAAACTCACATTTAGAACAGGGGTATCTAACTCCAATATGTATACTCTCAAAATGTTTTCTTAAATTCCCTGCTAACGTTGCTGCATATTCACAACGAGAGCAAGGAAACCTTATCACTCCATTAATTTTAACGGGTTGCGACTGATAAACTTCTTCAAGTACGTCATAGTCCATTTTACTGCAGCTGATTCTCCTTGATTCTGATTGCAAAGGATCAAATCCGAGATCCAACTTTTCTTCTGAAAGAAGAATCTTTATGTATACTTTGTTTGTTTGTCTGTATGTTTCTTTGTTTGTCTATATTGAAATAACGTCAAAACTGCTTAACCAATCGGGCCCAAACTGTTTGTGGGAACTCACAAGACCCCAGGAAAGGTACACATACCTTCCATCTTGATGACCTCTCATTGTACGTAAACAGTACACCTACCATCCATCTTGATGTCATCTTCCCGTACATAAATTGTAACCTACCTTCCATCTTGATGTCCTCTCCCTGTACATAAATTGTACACTTACCTTCCATCTTGATGTCCTCTCCCTGTACATAAACTGTACACCTACCTTCCATCTTAATATCCTCTCCCAGTACATAAACTGTACAAGTATCTTGTAAAGAAGAATATGGAGGAGTTCCTTTCTTGATGGAGACAGCTTCAGTTTCTTTGGTCCTCTCAAATTCTTTTAGTTGTCTTTTAAGTGTTCTATTTTTAAAAATCCCGCCTGAAACTATTATCTCATTATTTACTTTAGAATATTAATATATTTGCAGGAGAAGCTTTGCTCACTAACAGGGGCGGAAAAAGGCTTACTATGGGTGAGCCTACCGAAAATTTTCTCTTCATTTTCCTAGCTCCCCCCAATAAGGCTCAATGTTGAGTCTTGTTCTCACAAAAACCTGGAATGCGCCAATTCCTGTCATGAAAATCCGCCAAATAGAATATTAAACCGGTTTTTTAAACTCAATTCTGTGGAAATTAAGATGCAGATTAAATTTGAAAGCTCAAACCGTAAATAAGGCCCCACAAAAGCTTAGACCCGATCCGTATTTTCCCGAGTTTTTTTAAATCACGGGCTCTGGTCACATATATTATATATAAAAATTAAACAAATTAAACACAATTTACTAATTACTGTTTAAAAATAGGACATTGCTTTGGGAAAATGCATTTATATATGTCATAGGGAAATATCAATGTCAAAAGATTTTGAGAAAAATAAACATCAGCCGCCAATTTAGTTTAACAAATTCTGAACCCTTGGAATGAATGTGAAACATTCCTGTATACAAACTTTACCTTTAATTGGTGTATTTTTTATCTCAACATCTTCTTGCATATCCCCAAGATGTGTTTCCTCTAAACTGTAGGAAGGACAAAATTCGTCCTCAATCAAAAGTTCTTTCTTTCTATTCTCTGCCATTCTATCTGAAATATAGAAATATATTGAAACGAAAATTTTAAATGTAACTTATAAAAAGTAATTAAATTATCAGGCATAACTTTGTTAATGACGGAACTACTCTCTCATAGTCAAATTGATAATAGGAACAACTCCCATATTTACGTTAATTTTCTAAGGTGTAATTAAACGTACTTGTATGAATTACTCTTTACTCTTTATTTTTGCTACTAGCACATTTATATATAAACGTTGCTTGTCTGTCTGTTTTTTTTGTAACCGACATACGTAAACACAGCTGAACCGATTGGGCCCAAATTTTGTGTTTTTCCTCACATGACCCCAGAGAAGGTTTAAGGATTATCAAAACTGGGAAAAAATTTATGGAAAATAGATGGGATTATTTCTGAAAATGCGCCAATTCGAAAAGAAAAATTCGCCAAAATTTGAAAATTATTTTAAATTGCCGACTTTCAGAGCAAGCGATAAGAGCTAAAATATATTACAGGAAGCGCCTCAAAAGCCTTGTAATGATATATTATAACGTGATGAATGAGTCGAAGGAGAAGCAGTACTTCTAAGGATCTACTGCTTGAGGATTTATATTATCCTGGAATTCATCCTTTGAATTTTGATTTGAATGACGATATTGATCACGTTACAAGTTGTATTATGGGGGGGGGGGGGGAGTCACAGCAATTTCTCGTCCGTTCCACAGACTTCTCATTCTCTCGTTCAAGCCACCTGAAGATTCTGGCCTTTATTATCATGTTTTTAAAGTGTCAAATTCTCGGAGGAAAAATATATTTTTTTAATCTGAGTTTTAATACGAATTAATTTGAATATTGGTCAATAATTTTTGCCTTCCAAATGCTTACTTTTTTTAAATATCACATTTACTAAGGCATTGACGAACAAGAATGCCAAGGAACCAAAATTATGAAAAACTCTCTGTTTTCAGGAGCTTTTTACACATGCTTCCTGTTAAAATGTTTCTTTAAGTCACTTTCTGTAGCAGCAGTATACTCACATTTGGAGCAAGGATAGCTGACTCCATCATGCATGTTTTTGGTATGAATCTTCAGTTTTCCTGCAGAGGATGCGTTATAATCACAGTAAGAACAGGGATATCTTACTTCATCATGTTTACTTTCAACGTGTCTCTTCAAAGACCCTGCGGTGGTTGCAATATAATCACATTTAGAACACGGATATCTCACTTTTTCATGCTTAATTTTAACATGAATTTTCAAAGCACTTTTTGTGGTTGCTGCATACTCACATTCAGAGCAAGGAAACCTCACTCCTTCATGCTTACTTTGATCATGTCTCTTCAGACTCCTTGCTGAAGTTGCAGTATAATTACATTTAGAGCAAGGGTATCTTATTCCTTGGTGTTTATTTCCAATATGAATCGTTAAATCTCCTACTGTAGTTGCAGCATAATCACAATGGCAACAGGGATATCTCAATCCTATATGCTTACTTTCAATATGTCTCTTTAGAGACCCTGCTGTAGTTGCAACATACTCACATTCCGAACATGGATATCTTACTTCATCATGCTTATTATCTACATGACTTTTAAGAGCACATTTAGTATTTCCGATATACTCGCATTTTGAACAGGGATATCGCAATCTTTCATGTCTGTTTTCCACATGAACTTTCAAAGCACGTTTTGTAGTTGCAGAATACTCACATTTAGGACAAGGATATCTCACTCCCTCATGCTTATATTCAATGTGAATTTTTAAATCACTTCCTCTAGTTGCAACATACTCACACTTGCTACAGGAATATCCATCTTCACTCTTCTTCATTCTTTTTGGTTCCGGTTGGAGGGGATCAAATCCATATTCCAAACTTTCATCTAAAAAATTTTAAATTAATGCTATTAGGTGAAGCGGCCCACTTTCCAGTTAACAATATGGCTTTTTGTTTCTGATATATCTTCAAACCTTGCTTTACGGGAAATTCAAAAGCAATAAAATAAATTTCACGGATATACCTTTTCTTTGACAGATTTCCGAAGAATGGGGAAATGAAAATTTTAGAAATTCTATATTGAGATTTGAGGGAAAAAAGAGAAAAAATGGATTTTAATGGATATCATTCCTTCAAGTTTTGATATCATAATTTACCCACCAAAATGTTTCACCTTTATTTTCTATATTTGCATCTTCTCTTTGCACATCAACTGTAACTATTTCTTCAGAACTAAAAGATAAAAAAAATTCTTCCTTTTCGAAAGCTTCTTCTTTGATCTCTTCTTTAAATTCTTCCTTAATAATTAATTCTTCTTTCATATTTTCTGCCATTGTATCTGAATATAAAAATATTTTTCTGTTAATTAGCAATATGTATAACAACGCGACGTTGCGACTATAAGATGATGTATTAAATCTGCCCACGGCGCACGCATGTTGTGTTCTGAATTCATTTATACACTATCTTAAACATATACTTTCTGGTAATTTCCTACAGAACGTTTTTGGACTTTACCTTAAAATAAATTTTTGTGTTGAAAATTGTTGATATCAGGGTCAGAAAAAAAAATAATTACAAGGATTGAGCCTCTTTTAAAATATTTAAATATAATTATATAAATCTTCATTGTATTTAGGCGATACAACATCGAGATAATTTGAATTTAAGATTTATGAGATCAGAACTGAAAACTTATGAATGGTGGATATCGAGATCAATGCTTGATCTCGTCTTTTTCTTAATCTCCAGATTAAATAATGCTTGTTCTCCTCTTGTTATTAATCTCCAGATTAATCGGGATTAAGGATATCCCATTCTAAAGTTTTCAGCTCAGAGCTGAAAACTTTAGAATGGCGGATATCGAGATTAGTGCTTGATCCTCTCTTTTTCTTAATCTCCAGATTAAATAATGCTTTTTCTTCTTATGTTATTAATCTCCAGATTAATTAACCGATCGGGATTAAGGATATTCCATTCAAAGTTTTCAGCTCAGAGCTGTGAACTTTAGAATATTGGATATCAGGATTAATTAATGCTTGATCCACTCTTTTTCTAAATCTCCAGATTAATATTGCTTGTTTTCCTCATGAATTTAATCTCCAGATTTATTAATTAATTAACAGATCAGGATTAAGGATATCATATTCTAAGTTTTCAGCTCTGAGCTGATTTCTTGTTTACATTCAGAAAACCGAGCGCGGTAGCCGCGGAAATTTTGGTGCTGTTACATCGTCTATACGCAACATTCTCTCTACTGAACTTCTGACGTACTATTGGACCTACGCCAGCTGTTTATTTTTGTATTATTTAAGGGTTAGGTTAGGTTATGATAAAGGAAAATTTCTGGGCCACTGCTGCTGCTAGGACAGGATAGGATGCCGAGCGCCCCCGCTAGGACAGGCTAGGGGGCTGGGCGCTGCGGCCACAAGTCCATTAAGCAGCTGTAAAACCATGTGCTATTAGGTCGGACGTGTATAGTATAGCGGATTTGGTGTAGGTTAGAAGTGGAGTAAAGCGGATTTGCATAGGTCGAAAAATACACCACCTTACACCATTATACAGAGCGTCCCCTGGGCCACTGCTGCTGCTAGGACAGGATAGGATGCCGAGCGCCCCCGCCAGGACAGGCTAGGGGGCTGGGCGCTGCGGCCACAAGTCCATTAAGCAGCTGTAAAACCATGTGCTATTAGGTCGGACGTGTATAATATAGCGGATTTGGTGTAGGTTAGAAGTGGAGTAAAGCGGATATGCATAGGTCGAAAAATACACCACCTTACACCATTATACAGAGCGTCCCATAGCCTACGGCATCTTAAAAACGATGACCAAAAAGTAATGTCACGCCAAAGACAGAAAAAAAAACAATATTAAAAAATTTAAAATATTAGTTTGCATAAATGAATTCACTTTAAGTTCTTAAATGTATCATTAAAGGGGAAAACGCAATGAGAGTTTTTTTCTTAAATGTCGTCTCTCCTTCAGCCTATCAAATTTATAACGAAGACGATATCGTAAATTCGAAATACCGCAAATCAATATTTAGCCGGTGAGTGAAGTGAATCTCATAATATTTTTGGCCAGTCACTCAAATTGGGGGGGGGGTCCAAAAATCGTTCACTAGGACAGACCCAACTTACGAGAGTAAATAAGACCACTCTTTGATAATTTCGGAGAGAACATTTTTGCCAGGTTCTGCACAAAACCTGTCTGCTTTACTTAATGTCCATTTGGGGTAAATCACGAGTTTTACTTTTTTCTCTAAATATAAAGTCTCTCAACGTGAATCAAATTATTCATTGAAAAAAGAAAACTTTTTCATAATGTTTCCTTACATGGAAACCCCTAAAATCAGGTGTTAAAATTTGTTTCGACTTCCTTTATTTTCGCCGATGGGAACTATTGATGGGGGCGGGGACAATTAGCTAGGACTGAAGCCATCATTGAATTTTGAAGCTGGATATCGAAATCAACCATAATGTTTTAATTCAAAGTTTTAGAGCAGCTTCATCATGTTCAAAGTTGAAATAAAAACCACTTATGATCGTTAAATAGATGTCCCGATTTTTATCGGCGCCACTATAGAATTATTCATATTATGTTTTTCTTTTATTAAAGATTTGTTTTTAGTTAAGTACTGGAACAACCCTGGTCGCTGTTGAATTCGACGGAGGTGTTGTTATCGGAGCTGACAGTCGAACCTCTATGGGAACCTGGGTCGCTAACCGTGTGACAGACAAGTTGACCCCTGTCACAGACTCCATCTTCTGCTGTCGGTCAGGTTCAGCTGCTGATACTCAGGTAATGTGCGGGTCAACTTCTAAGGGGGGGCATCCTTTTTGTTAGATATTTGTATAATTAAATATCTTTATTATGTTTTAAATACTAATAAATACAAATAGTCTTTAATTTATACCAATTCTTCACCTCACCTCGGTTCATCCTGTTCGACGCTCATTTGGATACAAATGTAAAGACGGATCACGAACAAGCAAACATTTCATGTTTGAGTAAAGCAAAGAAAGATAGGTTTAATCATTTCATGTAGTTTTCTGATAACCAATTGATCTAACACACAGGGCTGTATATTTTTCAGAATTTTTGATGGTTTGGAGGAAAAATAGAAAAATTAGACATTAACAGCCAAAGTTTTTTTCATACTATTTGACACTTTCTACCCAAAACTTTATTTATTTTTTTCAAAAAATTATACTTTCTCTAATTTAGCGAATAAAACCCTAAAGCATATATAACTTCCAAATTTAGTTTTATTTCTCAAAAAGGAGGGGGAATGAGGCGAGAACATATTCACCACCTGCTAAATCTTGTTGTATTCAGGCAGTGACAGATGTTGTAAAATATAAGCTTGGGTTTGCTGAGATTGAGCAGGGTAGACCTGCAACCGTCAAGGACGCTGCCATGGCCTTCAAGGAGATCTGCTACGAATACAGGTTTTAGTTGAACTTGAAGGGACCGTTAAACGTAATGTTCAGTGAGTCTCCATGGATTGAATGTAATATTCACAAAGGTACCCTTATAAGATTTGTCTGATCAAGTTGGCATCATATTTACATGTATTTATGAACTGTTGTTGTTTCCAAACAAAAGCCCATTTTCTCATTAGAAACAATGAAAAAGAAAAAAAAGCTTAAGTAAATCGACGTAATACTTCAAAATATTGATCAGATAAAGGTTTCAAGGGTGTCCTAGTCCTCCCCCCCTTAAAATTACAACCAGAGGATGCGTTATAATCACA